CTTATGTGGATGACGTCTCCATTGAATTCATTTTGAAACATAATTTTCATTTTTTTAAGACAACCAATTCTGCTTGCAAATTAATTCCATTACCCGCTCTTATGTGGATGACGTCTCCATTCAATTCATTTTGAAACACAATTTTCAGCAAATCCGAGTTTGAGAATAGACTTCGGTCTATTGTTATTCAACCAAAATTGGGTTTTGACATTTTGAGTGATATGGTTTAATTGGTCGGAGTTTGAGAATAAACTTGGGTCTATGATCACAGGTAAAACCTATTTGTGATTTTTTTTTCTTTTTCTTTTTCTTAATCATTTTTTTCAACACGATATGGTGTTGGGTGATTCTAAGGGCTAATGTGATTGGATTGTTTTGTATGAACCACCAGAAGAAATTCATTTTTTTTTCAACAGGATATGGTGTTGGGTGATTCTAAGGGCTTGAAGTGTGATTGGATGGTTTTCTCTGAACCACCAGAGAAAATTTCAAATACCATTGAGATCGACAGAGCCATGATGACCTTCTGGATGTCAGAAAGAAGCTTAAAGAAAGAACTGAAGCTTTGTAAGGAACTTGGATTACTTGAACTCCTAGATTGGTAGGTTGTTTACAAATGAGCCCATATGAGGGCTATTTATACCTATTCCACCTCCTCAATGAATGGTGGAGATCTACTTCATCCTATGACTAAAGATTTGTTCTCTAGAATCCTCTAAGAATCTCTACACAACCATCCCTAAATTTCTAAAATATTCTAAGGATCTCTACTACTACTAGTGTTATGTATATGCTTCTAGATTATTCTACCAACTATGGGATGCTATATGTACAAGTGCTAGAGAAGTCCAAGGAGATGTAGCGAAACTCGGAAATGTGTAGCAAAGTGCCCCGCGAGAATGGTGCCCCAACAAAATAATTTCCTTCTTCTAGAATCTTGCAGACTAGGTCTAACCTTCTATGAAGCATAATACTGCAAATTTCTACCGCAGCAGCAGCAAATGTTTATACCATTATCTTGTATACTAGTGTGCAAGGTCAATATGGGATGTGTTTATTTTTACCATTACCATCATGGTGGCGATGAAGACGACCAGGTGGATGATCACGAACAGAGAGATGATCCACGAGTTCGGGAACTCCACTCTCTGCTCTCCCATTAGATCCTCCCCGTCAACGGATAACCGTTGTTACCTAGATTTTCAATTAATAAAGATAAACAATAATTCTGTGAAGAAAGAAAAAATTTCTTAATTTGTTATGATTCATCACAATTCTTGAGGTAACAAAAAAAAAAAAAAAAGTTGCGGTGTGGTGAACTCGCGCACTCTCTCAACGAGCACCTGTCTACTTTTACTAACAATTTTTTTGTTTGTTTTCTATTTTATGAGAAAAACCCCATTTTGATTTCTATAGATGGTGTTGTTCAAACAATAATAAAACCTAAATACAAAATGACTACATATTTCATGAATTTATTGGTACATTTTATTGGATTTATTAATACACCAAAAAAACAACTCAAGTTGAACCCCATGAATCACAAAAATGCTAACTCTATGATGTCTTAAAAAAGTAAAATTGGCAAGTACTCAAAATATAAGTAGGGCTGGCGAGTACTCAAAATATAAGTGTTAGACTTAGAATCGAAAAGTCATCCAATTTATGCAATTGTTAACTTCTCTATATGTTCTCCAATAAAACATCATTATTTAAAAATGTGACAAGCAAGTATTTTAGAGATAATAATGAACACTAGATAAACATTTACTTCAAATGCAATGAACAAAAAAGACAATAGACACTACCATAGATGAATTTTTTTGCACTCTTGGTTCCAAGATTATTTTGTCACTTACAACTTTGATCCCATGATTTTTAAAACTTGCAGAATTAGTTCACGAATATCATTTTCTTAGCATATTTGGTTCTTCCGGTAGTTTCTTCATCCAACTTTAACAAGATTTTTTTTTTTCTTTTATAGCATGGAAAGTCATCGTTTCCCTCTATCACTACTGATGACCTATTTCCCTATCTTTCTAAATAGATGTTCTTGTCCATCAATTTCCATCTTCTTCCTCGCGGTCCTATTGCCATCTTTCTTCATCTTCTACTAAATAATAATCAAGGTTTATTTTGAAGGTAAACATAATGGCTAGGTCATATGCCTCCTCAAATTCCCAAAGAGAGAGTAGTGATTATGGTGAGGCAACTCTAGTGGCAGAATGCAAATGTGAAAATCAATTGAAGGTGATCACTTTATGAAAAAATGAAAACCTTAGACAAAGATTTTGGGTATGTCGAGAAAATGGAGTAAGTTAATTTACCTGATTTCACTTTGGATTTTTATTAAAATTATTTTTTTAAAAAAAATTGGTATTCTAATTGTAGAGTAGAGGATGTAGGTTCATACAATCATACGGTCCTCCTATGTGTAAAAGGTTAAAGAAGATCATTACATGGTTGCTTAAGAGGTTGAATAAACAAGATGAAGAGTTGAAGTCATTGCAAATGAGGCTCATATTGGTTGTGAATGGTGCAAGAACAATGGATAAGTCTTGGTTTAAGAGTTGGCAATTCAAAGTTGTAGTGTTGGTAATTATAGTTGTTAGTGTTAGGTTATTGAGTAGTGGTATGAATGCACCATCTAATTGTAAACCTTTGAATCAATTGATGTGAGGAAATGGAAGCAAAAATCTTTTGCAATAGATGTGTATTTCAATCTATGTACTTGTTGAAATTTATATATCTTTATACAATTTCAAAGTTATTTACACCCACTTTTCACTAGGGGTGGTACAAATAGCACACTCATTCAGAAAAAGTATATTATTTGAGTACAAAAAATACATTATTTTATATAATGTACATTTAGTACACAAATAATATATTTTTAATATATTAAAAATGTACTTTTTGTTATAATTCATGTATATAACGTTGTGTGAACCATGATCTACACAATAATTTGCCCTAGTGAATCGATTGTTACGTGAACCATGGTTGTCAAATGAAACTGTAATAGAATTAAAATGATACTTTAGTATTGCTAAAATGAAACTAATGTGTGTGAAAAATGAAACTAAAAAACAAAGCTCATTCAATAACGTACTATCAAATGAAACTGTAGTACAATTAAAATGATATTTTAATGTTGTTAAAATGAAACTAGTGTCTGTGGAAAATGAATCTAAAATTCATAACCATACAATTATATATATTGTCAAATGAACGTGGAGTGTAATTAAAACAATATTTTAGCATTCTTATAATTAAACTAGTGTGTGTGGAAAATGAAACAACAAAATAGAGCTCATACAATAATGTATATTGTTAAGTGAAACTCTAGTAGAATTAAAATGATACTTTGGTATTGCTATACTATAATGAAACTAGTGAGTGTGGAAAATGAAACTAAAATGTATAGGACACATAATATCACCTCCATTGAGCAAACCCATGACTTCTCATTTGAAATAATCACTTACATGCCACTTAACCATAAAATCTTTGAAATTTACTTCTCATTCTTACGTCATCACTTTTACGCTTTTAATGTTCGGAGTAGTAAATACTGATAATATATTTCTTTTTCATGTAAATCCTAATAAAATTGTCTACATCAAGTGTTTAGATATAATACTTAATATTAGGGGTAGAGAATAAGAATCCACATAGATTTTCCATCTCAATTATCAATATTCAATCCATGTCCAATACACTCTCTCACCATTGTATGTGAATATCTATATGCTCTATATATTCCACATAAGTTTATTTATTATCATATTTAAATTATTATAATAATTTATAATGAATCTTACCGCTCTCATCTCTCCCTCGACTTTTATAGGGTTTTCAAGCGGTGATTAGCGATCTTCTCTCCAGCGAACGCTGGCTTCTCTCTTGCGATCGGCGAGCATGGCGCAACAAGAAGGAACCTCTCGGATGGACGACGCAGCAACCATGGAGGAAGTAGGGAGAATTACGGCGAGGTGGAGTGATCTGGCGTTGGAGGAGGATGAAAACGTTTTCGAGCCATGTGTGGAGGGTGACGGTGATGCGCCGGTAGAACAGCGTGAAACATTGAAGCTTGTGGGCAGGTTTTTGACAACTAAGATTGTGAAGGTGGAATTCATGAGCCTTATGGCCCCGGTTTGGCAGCCGGTTAAGGGTGTTCAGGTGACAGAAATATAACCTAACCTCTTTTTGTTTATTTTCTATCATGAAACGGACATGCAGCTGGTTCTGGACGGCGGTCCGTGGTCGTTTGAGAATAATACCTTGGTTTGCAAGCAAGTCCTGGATGGTGTTATTCCAGTTAGGGTGCTCTGGATACGGTTGATATGTGGATACAGGTTCAATGATCTCCCGTTGGGGTATACATCTAGTGGAATTCTCGAACAGATAGGGAATTTTCTGGGTACTTTTCTGAAATCTGATGATAGGTTTGCTGATGCTCCATGGAAGACGTTTTATCGGATTAGGGTTTCCATTCCTGTAGCGAAACCCATAAAGCGACGTATGAAATTCATGAAGCGTGACAAGACTACATGTTGGGTGAATTTTAAGTACGAAAGACTCCACAACTTTTGTTTCTTTTGTGGTATGCTCGGCCATCTCCACAAATATTGTTTGGGCGCAAGGAATGCGGGGCTGTCGGTGGAAAAATATCCTTTCAATGATGATCTGCGTGCTAGAGCAAGAAGGGGTCCACGCAAGATTGGTGCACCATGGCTTCTTGATAAAGATGGCAAGCCAGTGCAGTCCGAAGCAGCAACCACGGCAACGGTTTCTGACGCTGGACCCACAGCATTACCGTCGGATGTAGACCTCCGGGAGGGGGCTGAGACTGTCTCGGAAGTTGCTAAACGGAGATGGGGAGAGATGGGAGGCAGCGGAAGCGGGAATGGGGTAATTGGAGGAGGTGACATTACTATAGCAGATATTTCAAAAAACTTGCATCAGGCGGGATCTGGTTACCAGACCCGCCCATCCCAATGAGTACACTGAGTTGGAAGTGTCGTGGCTTGGGTAATCCACGAACAGTTCGCGAGATAGTGGACATTGTGTCCCGTAAGGAACCCGACTTTGTATTTCTTATGGAAACTAAAGTTGCCCGGATACATGCTGAACGTCTCCGGATCCGACTTGGTTTTGAGGGTGTATTCTATGTTGGCCCGGTTGGTTTGAGTGGTGGTCTAGCTTTGTTGTGGCGGAAGAATTGCACAGCGAGGCTTTTAAGTTTTTCGAAAAATTACGTTGATGTGGAGGTTAGCATGACGAATCTCCCAAATTGGCGAATGACATGTTATTATGGATTTCCAGAGCGCAATAGACGTGTGGAATCATGGGAATTGTTGAAGTCGTTAGCACCACGATCTAATCTCCCTTGGGTAATGGTGGGGGACTTTAATGATCTTTTGTTCCAATATGAGAAAAGAGGAGGTAATCAGCATCCAAATAATCTCCTACGCGGTTTTGGAGAGACTATTGAACACTGTGGACTGTCCCAGCTACCAATGAATGGCTATCAGTTTACGTGGGAAAAGGGGAAAGGCACACCCAATTGGATTGAGGAGAGGCTAGATAAGGTACTTGCAAATGAAACTTGGCGCGACCTCATAACTGGTGCGAGGGTTTATAACCTATTGACAAGGAAATCCGATCATTTTGTCATTTTTCTGGCCATACGAAATAATGAGACATGGAGAGGCAGGGGAATGAAACGATTCCGTTTCGAGATGGCCTGGCTATATGATGATGGTTGCAGGGCTGTGGTAGAAAAATCATGGGAAGAGAAAAGGGTCGAAGGCATGCAAAATTGTATTGAACATTGTGGGAATCGCCTAACCCAATGGGGTGGTGATTGGCATCACAAGTTTGGTGAGAAGATCATGAAACTCCGAAAAGAGCAACAACGCCTGAGAGGACGCACAGACACAGCCTCCTTGACTCAATTTCATGGCCTAGAGGAAGCCCTATGCCGTATAGAAGCACAGGAAGATGTATACTGGAGGCAGAGGGCCAAGCAACACTGGCTCAAACATGCTGATGCGAATACAATATTCTATCACAGGTATGCCTCTCACCGTAAAAGTAAGAATACTTTTATCTAGATTGATGAATGATAATGGGGAGTGGTGGAAGGGGAGAATATGAACAAGATTATTCTGGATTATTTTAAGAAGATTTTTACTACTGAGAATCCTGTGGATGGAAATTGTCTGTTTAGGGATATTGCCCCCCGAGTATCTCACATACAAAATGAATCCCTTTTACAGACCCTTTGAAATTGAGGAGGTCAGAGATGCCCTTTTTACGATGTTCCCTGATAAAGCACCGGGTCCGGATGGTATGAACCCTGGTTTTTACCAACATTTTTGGGATATTGTGGGAGTGGATGTTTCACATTTTATTCTGGACTGTTTGAACTCGCGCATTTTGCCCCTGGACTGAATGATACTGATGTAGTTCTGATCCCCAAGAAGAATTCACCAGAAATGGTCTCTGACCTTAGGCCGATAGCCTTGAGCAATGTAATGTATAGAGTAGTGGCAAAAATGATCTCACACAGGATGAAGCCTATAATGGATAAAATTATATCTGAGTCGCAGAGTGCATTTATACCTGGAAGGCTTATTATTGATAATATACTGATAGACTCTGAGGTAGGGCATTTTTTTTAATAGAAAACAGTGTAGAAGGACAGGTTGGAGTGCCCTTAAACTGGATATGGCAAAGGCTTATGACCGGATGGAATGGCCCTTCTTGCGTGGTATGTTGCTGGCTCTGGGTTTTGATGATAGATGGATTGATCTTATCATGCTATGTGTGACTACGGTATCATATTCCTTTCTGGTTAATGGTACCCGTAGTGGCTCAATTATTCCCACTCGTGGATTGCGACAAGGGGACCCTTTATCTCCCTACATATTTATTATTTGTGCTGAGTGTCTGTCACTATTATTGCAACAAGCACAAGCCAAGGGAGCAATTCATGGTTGCAGAGTTGCAAGGGGGGGCGGGGGGGGGGGGGCTCCCCCTATTTCCCATTTATTTTTTGCTGATGATAGTCTATTATTTTTCAAGGCAACAGTGCAGGAAGCTACAGAAATAAAGAATTGTCTATCAGTTTATGAAAGTCTATCTGGGCAAGTGGTAAACTATCATAAATCCAGTATATGTTACAGCAAAAATACAGATGAGGAAGAGAAAGAGGTGGTGGCGCAAGTTCTGGGGGTATCACAGGCACGTAATTTTGGGAAGTATCTTGGTCCACCGTCTTTTATTGGCAGAAATAAGAAGGCCGCATTTTCATACATTGAAGATAAAATCACGCAAAGAATTGGGTCGTGGAATAAGAAGTTGTTATCTCAGGCGGGTAAGGAAGTATTATTGAAAAGTGTGGCTCAAGCCATGTCTACTTTCTCAATGCGTGTATTTCTTCTACCTTTATCTATTTGTTCTGCCATTGAAAGACTTATGTACGAATAGGAAAGTAGAAAACAATATATTGTATTAGGAATTGCATTACACTATTTTACAATATTACGCAAATCTTAATAGTATAGGACTGTTTTGGGCGAGAAACTAAAGTTTGAGAATTTTGTTTTTATATATAGTTTAGATTATATAATTGTGTATTCAATTCCATGCGTTCATGATTCATGCACAATCCCCATCCCATCTTTTTCCACCTCCTTGTTGTAACGATAGAGACTCCACTTTAATAATATTCTTAATTAAGCATCAACCAGTTTTTTGGGGATAAAATTAACAAATAATTGTCTGTTGATATGTCTAATTAATGAAGAATAGTCAAGGAATTTTTGAATTTATTTGATTTGATTAGTTGAACAGAGGAGAAAAAAAATATATTTAGCTCCTCAATTCTATTTGTTTTAAATATTGTCTTTCTATCAATTATTATAAAGTATACTTTAATTTTATTTTTAAAAAAGTTACATACAATTTTTATCTCTATACTAAGTCGCCTTTAGCTAATTTTTATTTTTAATACATACATGATTTTTACCAACGAAAACCTAATTTTCCATGGGATATATTTATACATAAATAAGAGTAACTCTTATTGCTACAATCAATTTAGTATATCCATGCCATGTTGATCACAACACTTTCAATAGGTTAGCTTATTCATCTATCTTAAATAAGAAGGTAAGGTTATATATCGATTTGTCAGTTTATTCTTATAATATTTGTATAATTGTATTATAAAAATATTTTTCTTTGAAAAAAAAAAAACCTTACTGGTAATGATGAATAGTTGAAAATGTTTTCATAATATTGCAAAATCATTTTCATTATTATTTTAACGTATTATCTATGTTGGAAATTTTAGCATAAAATGACATGTTAAGTAACTATTTTGTAGTACAAATATATGTGGGGTTCACTTTCAATTTGGGACAGGTCAAAAACTCAAAATGGATCCGCACTCTTCGTACTTCGTAGTGAGACTTATGTTGAATTATATATTATAGAGGCTATCTCTCGTGCGGTGCAAATCAAATCTCAAAATGAGTTCAGACTTGTCCTTTTTATCCTGGGAGACTGACGCTACAACGCTCCAAGCACCATCGGGAGGTAGTGATCTTCTCGTTGGGTAAATGTAAATCTCAGATTTCCGAAATCCTTTTTCGTTTTTATATATTTTATATATAAATATTCTTGGTTCTGAATCAAGTTTTGGTTGGATTAGTTTTTTTTAAAAATAAAATACTTTTGTGCTTGTTTTGTACTAGTATTTGCTTAGAATTAATTTTTTAAAATTAAATTCCATATTTTCAAATATATATATATATATATATATATATATATATATATATATATTATTTTGATAAATTCACTTACTCACTCATCTCCAACAAGGCAACAATCTATTGGAATTTTTTAAGGTTGGATTAATGCTATGCTTTTAGGACACAATTCACAAGGTGAGGAGACTAGCAAGAACCAAAAGTAAAAAAGATGGTGGATCACTTTGCTCATTTTCAACCTGTTGTTTTCATTGTTTTGCTAAATTATGGGACAACTGCTCATAATTTTCACATATAGTCAAGATTTCACTACTCAATGTAGGTGGGGTTTGGAAGGTTGCACAATTATGATATATAATTACATTTATGACTTTAAATTGTGTGGTTACACAAGGGCAGATTCAAAATTATGTTTTTGAGAAGGTTTTAAATCTAGAAATCTAATCATCTCCTTCTATCATCCCATGCTTTTTGTTTGTGCATGAGAAAGGTTTGTCAATATCACAATAAATTAGTTTTTAGGGTTGTCTACTTGTCTATATGAAATATTTTTTTATTAATTGGTTATTTAATTTGATGCCTTCTTCCAAGTCATATGTCTTGTCAATACCCGGATGTATGTTTTGGGGTTCAATAAACAGCTCTTACGAGGAGTTAAACTTAAAACATTGTAATTACCAAATCAACTATCCAACTAACTTAGCTGGGATTACCTCTACGTTACACCTCTTCCTTCTATCATCAATCCAGTTGGATAAAAACTCCATATGCAACATTGCAAAATCCCATAAGGATAGCGTTTGGTTCGCAGAAAATATTTGAAGGGAAATGGAATTGAAATTTCATGAAAAAAAATTATTGGGAAGGTTAATTACTCCGTACATTGTCTGGTTGGTAAAAAATAAATTACTAAAAATATTAATTTCATTGCTTGGTTAGATTTGGAATTGTAAGGAATAATGTGTATAAAGATAATTATACTCTACACAATAACAACAACAACAATAATAATGATAATTAAGAAAAGTTGATGAAGGCTTAATTGTCCTACTTGTTTTTCATGGAAAACAAAATATCAAAGGGGGGATGGAAAATGTTTTCCTCATTCTTGAGAAAAATGTTTTCTAATAAAAAAATATTTTTCATAAATCAAACAAATGAAAAATCAGTTTTTCTCAAATTCAAGAAAAATATTTTCCTTGGAAAACATTTTCCAGCGAACCAAACATGCCCTTAAGGAATTACTGCTTTGGGCCACATTAATTGTAGTAACAAGACTCTTAGAAAATGGGGTTGCTTCATTGCCCCAAATATTTCAATATAAAAAATGGAGGCCCAACCTAACCATCACTCTAGCAGGGAAAAACCTGGTAAGCAAGAAAATCATATGTTCTTTCTTGAAGATGCAACAATGATCATACATTCATACAAGCTAAACCTCCATGCTCTTTTATACTATGCAATAAATCATTGGTTCTTGCAGGGTTTGCAATCCAGCGCGTGTTTGAGATCTTTTTTTTTGGGTACATTTGAAGAGGTTAGAGATATGGAATCAGACTGACTAATTGCCTGGAATTGAAAGACACTTAGCCTACCACTAGAAGAACCTCAAAAACAACATATATGCTTACACATCAATGAGTGTGTCTGCTGCTGATTTTTCAAGCTCAAGTATAGCATCAAATCCAAAGGCATTCCCGGGTGCAAATGATGATTTGAGTTCTTTGGCAGTCTGAGTGGTGGTAACCTTGTTTTCCTTTACAACGAGCTTTTCCTGTCAAAATAGTGACCCTGCAAAAGTTAGTGAAGCTCCTCACTTCATACTCGGAAAAGAATAACAACAGTACTTGCCTCCGTCACATAATTGCCCACGGTTGAGGTAATTATTTCCTGGATTACAAAATTGGTGACTCGGTCTTCGCCTAGCATCTGTAGTAAGAACTCCTTCGGAATCTACATACAGAAGTTTCAAGCTTGTGAATCAACTTTAGAGCAGTAAAGGAGAGACATGCATCAAATTGGACATTATATTTCAAATTTTCTGAAAACCCAAATGTAAGACACATCATTTTACTTCACACTTGGTACTTTGAAATATGTATTCCCTTTGAAGTCCAGGATGTATCTCTTGGAAATTATCCATTTTCATGATCACAAAGTTTTCCAGTTCATAATCTAATATAGGCCCAACATAAAGCTGGGAAAAAAGAACAAAACAAAAAGAGAAGTAAATGATGCATTATAATTGAAAAGCTTGGCTTATAATCCCCACATTTTCCATGCCGTTTTTCAAAATAAAGTCCAACTATAGAGTTCTATAAAATAAAATAAAATAAAAATTGTCTGCTCGCTGTTGGTGTGGATCTCACAAGGACCATGGATTTATAGCAATGGCAGGACGGAAGCAGCATTATAAGAGGTAAAAAGTCAAAACAAGCAATGGAAAAATTCAGCACAGGATGACATTCATTGAATGGTTAAGTCAGACTAATAATGCATGAGAGAGGCACATACCTTCATTTTCCCTGGGGAAGCCACCATGACATGAAAGATCAAAGTTATAATCAGTGGTTACTCAAGTCAAAGGAGATTGCAAAATGAAGAATATATAGGTCTGCAAGGCACATGGCAGCACAAATGGAGCATCAAAATGCCAAACAAACATAGCACATAGATTATCCTTTAGCATCAAATATGAACTCACAGGTATATCTATTCTCGTTTTACAAGAAAATGGAAAGTATATGATTAGTCTCACACAAATTCCATAAATTGTCTAAGAAGCCATTAAGAAAAGCATTACATTAGTAACATATGCCAAGTTCTATAATTGCAATCAATAAACAAGAATATCGGTGAATGAATGTTAACTTTGGGATATGCATAGAAGGTGGTCCAAGTCTGCTAATACCTCCTTTTTGCTTGCGAAAACCAGGAATTGGTGGTGCTTCACGACCCAACCTTATCAAAATCTTATCAAAAATTATTTGTGTGTCTTTTCCTGTCAAATCAACTCTGACCTGAAACAGAATGTCAAAGTGATCCCTTTTCTTTGGTTTGAAATTACAGATAAAATATACTTAAAAATATAGATATTTGGAGAATATTGAGATCAACTTTTAATAAAGAAAAAAAGTACAGCATGTCAATATATAAAAGCCAAAAGTATAATCCTAGTTAAACATTGAGATAACCTAATAAATACTCCGTAGTACATTTAGAGAATTGAGCAAGTATACTAGACTTTTCTGTTATAATCAATACCAACTTTTAATGCCATTCATCAACCTATCATCAATTGTATAACCATTGTTGTATCCTCATTTCACTGAGATGATAAAAGAAAAGAAAGAAGCAGACATATTTTCTCATTACTAGGACATGTATAGTATCTTTTTTTTTTTTGACAGTTGATATTTTGTAGTTCAGAACAATGAATGAAACTTATCCTATGCAAGGATAACTTACATGTACGAACTACGAAGATGTTGAAATTGAGGGATTGATAGGTCTAGCGGGTGGAGAATAACCACCACCCGCCAGTTAGGCGGAAGCAAAATATGTGAGAACCAAAGAATAAGAGAATAAAGAGAATATATTATAGTGAAAGATTACAATAGAATCGTCTCTCTTAATGTCTATTCTATACTTCTATGGACCTCTATATATACTAAACTAGATACTAAATTAGTCCTAATAGGAATAGGAAACTACTAATAAGAATAGGAAACTAAGACAACTTTCCTAATATTCAACAGAAGAAAAAAGAAAAGAAAAAGATTAAAATGATGGTAATGAGTTCATTCATCCCAGCTCTTAATTTACCAACTTGATTGAAGTCAGGCCATTTGATCCCTAGTGCATTTGCCAATTGCATATCAAATGGTTCTAAATATGATAAAAAGTTGAAGAGTTTGGGGTTCTGTTAACAATATTAAACCATTTATTTGACCAAATTCAGTCAAACTAAAGAAGGGGAGGATGCTTGGATAGGTTGTTGGAGAAAAACTACTAACACTGATAGGAAGAGTAAATTTTGGTGGCGTTGTGTTGGAGTTTTTCTTCTTCCTCATCTTTTTTTTTTTTTTTTTTTTTTTTTCTTTTGGGGTATGTGGGGGAAATATGTGCTTCTAATATGATTTCTGGATTGGCAAAAATGTAAACACAACACCCTTAGCATCTTATGTTTTTCTGTACTTTCTAAGCCTTTTTCATGTTTCAAGGCTATTCTTATTGGTTAAAGATTATTTTGAGAATTTTTGCTGTAAACTTGTGACAAATGTCACTCTATCAAGTTGACAACAACACATAACCAGTCATCAAATCATTATTTGCAAGGGGAAGAACAGTTGCTTCACTAGGAGGCAGAAACTACAGATGAAATAAAGTTTACAATAGAGGCAGTCTCGCAAGATTACTTGTATTGTTTTATCATCTTGAGACACAAGAGTAACCTCAGAATCTTTAACAGTTATGGAAGCGTCATCTGATAGGGATGTTTGAAAACCTGCAAAACCAAAAGACTATGACTATGACATCAGTGAGGGGAAGATATTGGTAATCTGATTAAACAACAGTTTCTTCTTGTTCATAGAGGTAGACAGGTTTTAAGTAATTGTCACCTGAACCAAGGGCACATGTGGGCCTGACCAAATATCTACTGGAGGGGCTACACCAATTTAGCAACCATACAAGAAAATGAGAAAAGGCCTATTAGAGTTGGCACCACACGGGCACACGGTATAAAACAAACTAGGCACCTAGATATGAGATATGCTGAAGAGAGTAATCAGTTGGAAGTTAGAAACGGAAATTTTGATGTGCTATATCATAGGAATGACTCAGGTTGTCAGTAAGCTTTAAGCAGCCATTTCTAAAAGTACTATCAAATCTATAAGTATGATAAAGACATTCTTATAAGATTCTGTTTGCTCAATACAATGAGTATATAATGTATTACAACCAAATAATTGATGAATTCACAACAATTAACGACCTATTACAACTCTCCTAAATAAACGAGGACTAAATACCCAGTAAACGGAGGGACTAAGACACCCCACCTAGGATTCCAATTAGATTTATATCAATAGGAATGCCATGAAGCGGATGGGGACATGATACGAATCAGGCATGAAAGGAAAGTAATCAAATAATCGTTCTAGTGGAAGCATAGAATAAGGGATTGATTGATTATGTAAATCCTTGCTTATTTTATGAAGCGTATAATTAGGGATTGACTAATTATGTAATTAGTAATTGATACTCCTACCTTATTTTACATATGGTAACAAATTATAAATAGGGACCATCTCTTAGAAGAGAGGGTATCCAGTAGAATTGGAAGAATTAGCTCTAAGTAGCTGCGAGCAAGAATTTATTCTTGTTTGAGGGATATTCTTAGAATTCCCTTGTTTTCTTTCATTTGGTTTTACTTTATAATATCATAATCTCCTACATTTCTTGGTTCAAGCTTATCCTGTCTCTTTACTCTTATCAGGACACATATTTATGCACATAGATGGTAATGATAAGGTTGTACACGGATAATGCCAATTGTGTTGCTATATCTATTTGGTTCTGCTAAATACATGAAGACATTGAATCATTGTAATTACAGTAAACAGATTAATTGTCAATAAGGTACTAGCCACAATGAATTTATAAGTAAAACAGCAATCAGAGCGGTAATGTCACTGTACAAACCAGAACAGCTAATCTAAAAAAACACTTAGCAATAAAAGTAAACTTTACCTCTTGCATACAAATTTAATTCCAACAGGATACTTCCCATTTAGTGCAACACAGCTAGATAGGGAATATTTCGGAAAATTTGTAATGCAAAAACCCTATGAAAACAATAGCACAAGGATTAAAATCGGAACATGGAAAATAGTGTTTCTGTTACACATCAGATACTCTATTATGACTCAATAAACACTGTAAATCAGTAGAGACCATAATCACAGATAAAAGATGGTACTCCATCTTTCTCATTTTACCAGTCATGCTTAATGAAAGTCAAACCAATTATTTTTCAATTGCTTTTTCTCTTTAATACTTTTGTACAGTAATATATAATAGAGTAAAAGACAATTTTGGTGTTTTCTATACATCTTCAAGATATGAAAGCTGAATCTAAGACCTCCAATCTAGAGTGACGAGCTGATACTGCTAAAACATTTTGTTTCAAATAGAATTTTTAGTATATACTTTTTAAATTTATGAATTTATTTGCTAACACTAAATTAATTAATATAAAAATTACATTATACACAGCTACACAAGTAGCCCTCTTCAACCAAACAAGAGACATAGGGACGGAGAGAATATTATTCTTTCCTCATTAATTTGTCTCGTAATTCATAATTTACACAATTTATTGAACCAGTTCCAGTTTTTAGAGATGATGTACATTCACAATTATCTAAAAATTACTGCAAATTATTATTTCGTCAAGAATGACTGAATGAGTGAATAACTAAATGCTACTCCGCACCATCAAGAGAAGAACTGATAATTCATGAAATGAAATATATATAAACATAAATGATTCCGACAAATTGGTCGTAGATGATAAAACTATTAACCTTAAGCTTTTACGTTATCCTTACCCGCAAAACTCTGAATTGCTGGCGCGATACTGACGTCACGGCCAAGGTCGTCGTCGTCATCGTCGCCATTGAAGATATGCTTCTTTCCCGACCAAAGAGACGGCAGCAGGCCAGAAGAGCAGATCCACTGTTTTTTTTAAATTCTTCCAATCTCTTTGTATAAGATAACAGAATTTATCTCACTTTTGATACATTTCCATTTATAGCCTTATACAGAATTTTACTTTCTTTTACTACTTAATTTTGAAAAGGAAAAAAAAAAAAACATTTTCACTTTTAACCTTCCAATTTAAAAAATAGTTGCATTTTTAATTTAAAAATGAAGAAAATATCTTTACTTTATAAAAGTGTTACTACACTACATGTGAGGATATTTTAGACCAGAAGCATAGCTTTAAAAAATGGGTATTGAAAAGGAAAAAATAAAAATAAAATCCAAGTATATTATAAATGAAAATGACATTTTAAATAAATGAGTAAAATTTGTTTTAGAAATAAATAAAGAAAATTTACATTTGTAGTATCTAAACTATGAATAAAAAAATTTTGAGTGTAGCCATGAATTTCCACTAACACAGTCACTAATACTTTGGCTAGATGGATAACTAGTCTGAAAATTTAAAACTGCTTCATTGGGAAAGTAAATCTTCCTAAATATGTGAAAGAGTAAGCTGTACTTTTATCATTATTTGAACTGCTGAGAGTGTTTCTTCCCAATTAATTATCCCTGCAAGGGTAGTTTGGTCCAAAAAATCGTATCTGTCTTCTGTATATTTAAAGAGAAGCCATTGACAAGTAGAAGAAGAAGAAGAGCAAAGGAAGATAAGGAAAGGAAAATGCTAGCCGTTAACACGGGAGCTCACTTCTTTCTTTTAAACCCTAAGGTGAAAAAAACCCAACTTTCCTGTCTTTCTTAGCTTTGGGTGTGTGTGTTTGTTTTGTTTTTAATAAATTTTTATCAAGTAGATAATTCATTGTATATTATGTAAATTATCTGTGACTTTATTTGATCAATTTAGTGTAACCAGGGAAGCTAATGACAAATATCACAGAAGTTTTATACAAAGAATTAGATACAAATAGATTTTTTTTTTTTTTTTTTTTTTACTTTTTCATATATTTTACTTAATTATTTGGGGGATTTCAGTAATTGGACTACAAAGAATATGGTAATACTATATTTCTGATTATGATTGTTATAATTGTTGATTCTGGTGCTTTGTAAAGATCAATTCTTGGGAATTCTGTTTAAGAATGTTTATACTGCAATGTTATTAAACCAAATGTTTATAATTTTTTTTGTATGGATTGACTTTGGGAACTAGGAGGTTGAGAAGTGTGTTTAGTTTTACTGCAGATTACAGGTCAAGTGCAATGCAAAGATATCTTGGTCCCATATAATTCATTTGGAAGAAAGTTTTTAGCCCTTAGGATTCAATATGATTCATTGAGGTATGGTATTTCAAGTTTTGTTTTTTGGGGTAATTTATTTGGTTAAATTTTTTGAACTTGTAAGCTTTCATACAGAAATAAGAAGCTTTTTGTGCGCTATAGTTGATGAAAGTGTTTTAGAATCAATTAGAAAACATGAAACGGTTTAAGCCCTGCATTAGTTGTTGTTCCCAAAATGTTGCCCAACCCCAAGGGCCCCGGCCCGACAGAGCATCTGGGAGGATGTAAATCATGGTAACCCAGCTGAACACAGAGGCTAGACCTTTGCTTACTGCGCACAAGGAGCCCCCCCTCACTTTGAGAATCAATTAGAAAACATGAAACGGTTTAAGCCCTGCATTAGTTGTTGTTCCCAAAATGTTGCCCAACCCCAAGGGCCCCGGCCCGACAAAGCATCTGGGAGGATGTAAATCATGGTAACCCAGCTGAACACAGAGGCTAGACCTTTGCTTACTGCGCACAAGGAGCCCCCCCTCACTTTGAGAGGTTGCTCTCACACTGCCGCTGGTGAGACTCGATCCCAGATCATTCTTCCAAACTTCACCCCTGTGACCAACTGAGCTGCCCATGCGGGCTCAAGCCCTGTATTAGTAAATCACCGAATAGTGGTCTTTCTTAAACTGTGTGTTCGTAAATGATGGAGTAGTGTTTCCTTGAAGTGAATTTTGTGGCCATTTGCTTCAGAATGAGATGTGTGTTGTTTATATTTGTCTTGTAAAGTTCATCAGTTAGTATTGCTCTTTTTGCATCAAAGGTCTAGGGATTTCTTTCTCTGGGCGGTCCTTATTTTTTAATAAACTTTATCAGTTGTTATAAATGGAGGTGTTGCCTTGGGTAACATTTTCCTATTGTGCATTTTTTGGTGGGGGTATTAGAGAAGTGACAGCAGAAAAAAAAAAAAAAAAAAAAAAAAACCCTTTTCTTGATTATATTGTTTTCTCTGCTTTTAGGATCTGTACCAACTTTCCTGCAGTTCAAGCTATAACATCAGGTAAAAAACAGGTCAATTTTTTTTTTAAGTTGTGACAAAATATTTTGTTTTTATTGGGCGGAGGCCGGTGAAGGGCTAACTCCAGCACCTTGCCTCTTGAAAATGTGAAGAGCAAAAACTGTGCAGTTAAGACTGGCAGGTGCAGAGTCCAGCACCCTGCCTCTCGAAAATGTGATGGTGTTATAAGGAAATAAAGTTGCATTTTTGCTACGAGGGTATAAGGAAATAAAGTTGCGTATTCGCTACGAGTTATAACTTCTGGCTTAGTGGTAAACGCTTGATCCTAACATTTTTGCCACCATGAACATAACATTCTTCTCCATTACTTAGGTTTGGAAGATGCTGAAGTTTCCACTGTGCAATATGAAGAATTCTCTGTCAGTACAAGTGTTACTGACAGTTCTAATGAGCTAAAGGTGAGAAGTTAACCATTTTTTGGTGTCAATATTTTGAAGGATACCCCTCACCAGACACCGGGGATTATTCTTGAACTGACTCTAATGAATGATCCAAACTCATCTTCTTCGTGATTATAAATATGGTAAATTATTGGTAGTGATCTTGAGAGTTCTAGGCATGATTACAGATTACAGTTGATGTATCGGGGAGCAAAACTCAAGAAATTTTCGATGATGTATTCTCAAAAATGGTTGCTGAAGCTCCGCCTATTCCAGGATTTCGGAGAGTAAAAGGAGGTAAGCCTTTCTATCTACACCTCTGAATTCTTCACTTCCTTTCGAGGAAATTCCTATTAGCTAATCTTAACATTATATGTGATCTTTGTTTCGGCCATGATGTTTTTCTGTAAATAACGTGGAATCACTCAGGGAAGACTCCGAATGTAAGTTCCTTAATTGACTTCTTCATCTACACCAAATTCTGTGTTTTATTTGCTTCTCTATACAGAAACTTTGTCCCTTACTGCCATGGTTAGGCTGCAGAACATATTGTATTATTGTTGTATGCAATAAATCATTGAAGAAGCTATTCGTGAGTTTACTTGTATTCAATGCCGCAAGAGAAACTTTGACATTTATGCTTGGTACGTGCACTTTACAGATACCAAGAAGCGTTCTTTTGGAAGTTCTTGGACATTTGGACGTTTATAACCGAGTTATCAAGCAAGTGATCAACTTGACTATTGGTGAATACGTGGAGAAGGTTGGTATAAGTTTTGGTTTTCCCGGTTTGTGTATTTCGTGCATGCATTCATAAACATCTTATATGCTGTTTCTTCTGGTTTCGTTCATCAACAATTTGCGAGGAGTGACATTATGAATAATACATTATGTTGGTTATTTCCAGGAAGGTCTAAAAGTTGGCAAGAACTTGAGCATTGAGCAGAGTTTTGAAGAGCTTGAAGCCTTATTTGTGCCTGGTAATCCATTCAGATTTACTGCAACTCTGAAGCTTTAATTACACTTTGGATTATGGCTTTTCAGTTCAATTTTGTGAATTCTGGGTCCAAAAATATTACACTACTTCTTATGGTAGAAATTACCTTTCAATTAAAGTTCTTTTTTTTTTTTTTTTTTTAAATATTTCTTGTTGATCAATAACTTTTTTTTTTTGGTTCCCCTATTGGGTTAGTAACCCTTGTCTCCATTCTTGTTATGATCATTATTTGCTTTTTGAGGATTGCTACAATTTCATACTCTTTTTTTGTCTCTGCAATACTCTTTTCAAAAGTGATTAATATAACATAAATGAAAAATTACAATTTTCGTCCTTAAGTTATAGAGTAATTGTAGAATTCGTTCTTAAGTGTTGATAATACTTACTTTTTGTCCCTAAGTTATCATTGACGTTGCACTTTTGGTCCTTTCGTGCTCACTTTTTGTCCCTGAGTTATACTAAAACGGTAAATTTCGTCCTTAATGTTTTATTAGTAAAGGGACGAAAAGTGCAACATCAATGATATCTCAGGGACGAAAAGTACAACATCAATGATAACTTAGAGACGGAAAGTGAGTATGACCAATACTTAGGGACGAATTCTACAATTATCTTATAATTTAAGGACGAAAACTGTAATTTTCCACAACATAAAAAATGTCCTTAACGAAACAATGATGCGTTTGGAAACATAGAAAATGACTTCAGGAAAATGTTTTTCGAGTTTTCAGTGTTTAATAAGAGGGGGAAAAATGGGGTCAATGGAAAATGATGCATTAATCAAAGGAAAATAGGTATGTTTTGGAAGAAGTCATTTTTCAACCCGCCTGCCCTCCTTGCGCCTAGAACTGTCAATACGGGTTGGCGGGGCGAGATGGGCCAAAGCCTGGCGGGTTGCGGGCTTGAATTTTACTGGCCCAACCTGCCCGCCCCTGGCTCGCGGGCTAGGCGGTTTTTTTTTTTTTTTTACTCTTAAGTTGTTAGTATGATAATTTGTTAATTTTTACCATTTGTACACTCTAAAAATAATTAAAAATAACTTGGTACATAACTAACATAAGACATAGTTCATTAAACATTAGACATTACAAAATACATAACAATAATTTAAATTCTATAGTCTAAAATTTTAAGACATTAAACTAGGGTTATGATTATTTTTTATTAGATTATAGTTAGATTTTAATAAAATAAAATTATATATATATGGAAGAGTTCAGGTGCGGGTGAGGCTTCCCGTGCGGTTAGACGCACCGTAAGCATTAACATGGTTCATCTTAAGTACACAAATCACCATGCACCTTAAGCATACAAAATAAAGCACCTTAAGAACACAAATCACTCACCTTAAGTACATAAACCACGCACCTTAAGCACAAAACAAATTACATTAAGCCCAAAACTCAAGCACTTAAGATTTTAAAATGTCTCACATTAACCACAAACCCACGCACATTAAGCACAAAATCCACGCACCTTAAGCACAAAACCTAGGCACTTTAAGTTTTACCAACTACTCACATTAAGTACAAAATCCACCCAGCTTAAGCACAAATCTCACGCAGCTTAAGCACAAAATCCACGCACTTTAAGTTTTAACAATTACTCACATTAAGCACAAAACTCGCGCACTTTAAGCACAAAATTCACGCACTTTAATCACAAAATCACTCACCTTAATTTCGACCTAGATGCAAAAATTACCAAATTGCCATCGCATTTTTGTTTTTATTTTTTTTTAAATCTTGATAATCTTGGACGTTGATTTAAGCATAATCAATTGCTCTATTGTAACTTTTAACTGCACAACCGCACCTGGACCTCTCTCTCTCTCTCTCTCTCTCTATATATATATATATATATATATATATATATATATATGAAACTGGAATTGGCAGAAAATTCATAAATTTTTTTATCTAGATTGTGAAATTTTTTGGGAGTATTTGGTAACAAATTTTTCAGATATGAAGTTCAGCAAGTCTAGAACATACACAAAAATTTTCATATCAATCTAAGGCCTAGAAGTAATTTTATCAAATTTTTTTCTTAAATTGCGTCAAACATAATTTTTTTTGAACAGCACACTACCAAGAACTTTACGGAATTTTCTGTGATTATTGGAACATGTTTTCAACTAAAACTTATTTTTGGATATCAAATTATATAAGTGTAGGTTCTAAAAAAAAAAAAAAAAAAAAAAAAAAAAAAAAAAAAATCAAGCAAAAAAGAGTCCAAGAATTTATTTATTTTTTTCAAATTTATATTTCCAACTGCATCAGACAATTTTTCGGATAGTAAAATCTTTTTTTATGACTATTTTTTCCACTGACATCTAAAATGGTTTCCTGACCAGAAACTTCTGGAAAACCAGTCTAGCCTACTGATTTCTATATTTTTTTTTCAATATCATTGAATTAAAATGTTGAAATATACAATTTTTTTTATTTTCCTACTTGTTTTTTAAAAAATGAATCAAACACAAAAAATGGTAAAGGAAAAATATTTTTCATAAAATATTTTTCAGAAGTTATTTTACTGAAAAACGGAACCTAAATTGCAAACCAAATACATCAAATAATTTCAGAACTCATGTTATATTTCAATAGGTAATTATACGCCCCCCTTAAGGATTTCCTCAGCCATCTTCACCTTTGCTCTTAGCGTCTCAACATCTGCTTTCAAGATTCTATTCTCAGCAGCTGCGTCATTGTGCTTTTGGCTTACCTCCGTCAAACGCTTCAGTAAAGACGAGTCAATTGAGAAACCTGTGCCTCCATTTCTGTTAGATGGGCCTCCTTTCTTCTTCTACAACGCCGCGCTGATTCTCTGTTACATAGCATCTTCCTTTCCCGCTTTGCATCCATCTTCTTCTGAGTTTCTTCAGCTTCATCATCACCAATTGACAGTTCCAATCGTTCAGGCAAAATTATGGCAGCTGATGAATCTCGAGGCGGCTCCGGGCAGTTTCCACGCGAGGAAGCTACGGCGGCGCAGGCTAAATAGAGGCGGCTTTTGAGGAATTCCCGGTACTCCTCGGCGTCGGTTTCCGGCTGCCGCCGTTGTTGATGAGAAGAAACCGCAGCGGTTACCGGAGGTGAAGGAGACGAATTGTGGTCGACGGAGGCGGTGGCTTCCAGCTGGAGGAAGCGTTGGAAGGCTTGCTCGGAGGGGCTACGGCTCAGCATCTTCTCCGGCGGCAGTGACATCGACTCGCCCACTGTGAAAACGTTTTCCATTTTCCACGTTTTCCGAATCCCAGAATTTGTCACCTTTTATATGGCCCTTTGATAGACGGACAATGGCCTTATATGGTAATTTCATATATTAATGTATTAATGTATTATAGTAATTTAATTTAGGGAAAATGGCACTTTTTCCCCTATGTTGTTTACTAATAGCACATTTTCCTCCTGTGTTGTTTATGTAACCACTTTATCCCCCTCAATTGTTTTTGAAGTGTCTATTTTTCCCCCTCTCCGTTAAATAAGTGTTAGGGATGTTAAATATGAGGGTAAAAATGACATTTCACTTATTATTGTTATTATTATTATTATTATTATTATTATTATTATTATTATTATTATTAGTAATTTAGTAATGCATTTGGTTTGCAATATAACTGTGCATTTTAGACGTGGAGTACTGCAGTATATTAGGGCGTTGGGTGGGACTTATTATTATTATTATTAGCAATGAATTTGGTTTGCAAACTGCTGTATATTAGGGTGTTGGGTGGGGTCGTTCATTAATAATAATAATAATAATAATAATAATAATAATAATAATAAGTGAAATGTCATTTTTACCATCATATTTAACAGCCCTAACACTTACTTAACGGAGAGGGGGAAAAATAACCACTTCAAAAACAATTGAGGGGATAAAGTGGTTACATAAACAACACAGGGGGAAAATGTGTTATTAGTAAACAACACATGGGAAAAAAGTGTCATTTTCCCTTTCCCTTTAATTTAATATAGGGATAATTACATTTTTTTGGCTCTTAATTTTGCTTATTATGCAATTTAATCCCTTATTTTCAATTTCAATCAATATAGTTATTCAATTGTAAATTTAATTCTTAGAATTGTAAATACAGTTTATTAATTTGATTTCTAACTTCCATCTCAAACAAATTGAGGGACTAGATTAACTATATATTTATAATTTGAGAGACTAGATTCATAACACGATAAACATTTAAGAGATCGTAGTAATAGAAATTGAAAATGATGGACTAAATTGCATAATACGGAGTAATCAACAATTAAGAGACAAAAATTATATTTACCCAAAATTTACATACACATACATATATAGTAATAATAATACAATTATAGTAATAGTAATTAATGCATAGTATACAGTTATAGTAATAATAGAGTGTATTATTATTATACTAGTAATTCACCCGCGCAATGCACGGAAAAAAATTACGTTATTATAAATATAAATAAAAAATAGAAAAACTAAAATATTTTAAATTATTTAATATAATAATATTTTTGAGCTTCCATTGGTCAAGTATTTATTATTTTTATAGAATACAAAATTACAATTAAAATTAAAATTTATATTAAAATTATAATTTTGTATGGTTAATATAATCTCTAATTATGTGCATATTCAAATAAACTTATAGAGAAAATATACATAATTACATTGATTTATTCTTAATTGTATTTCATCTATATTATAATTTTCACAATACGAATAATAACTCAGATAATTACATTTGGAAAGCAAATTTTAAATTTTGTATGTGTAAATTTAAACTCTAATTGAACATATTTTTTATATGATTATATAATATATAGCTATTTTATTTTTCAAAAGTATATTTTTTATATGATTATATAATATATAGCTATTTTATTTTTTAAATGTTGTGTTTTTTTTTTTTTTATAATAAAGGATGTTGTGGCATTAATTGTAACATTAATTATTTTCCAAACCATATAGCTTTATTATATAAAGGACTATACATAGAGAATTTATTTTATTTTTGGTCCTACTAATACTCTTCTGTTGATTTGTGAACATGCTTTCAGGTAAAAAAGTAAATATTAATATGATCCATCTATTTGAGTTATTGAGTAGATCAATGGTGAAAGGTTGTTGAAAAATAAGAAAAAAATATTGAGTTCTTTTTATAAATATTAAAAATTTAAAAATTTTCAATAATTATAAAATTGATCTTATATATATATATTTTTGGATAAAGTACAAATAAGTCACTGAACTATTTGAGAAATATCAATTAAGCCATCGAACTCAAATAACTTCCAAATAAGCAATTGAACCCAAGAAAAAAGAAGAATTAACATTTTTAACAGGTTAACTCCAGGTTTTTGTTGACTGGATTGCCAAATGTTTCTTTTATTTACGTTTCTTCTTATTATTAATAATATTAATATTATCTACTTGGATATTATTATATTTTAAAGTAATTATAATCAAAATAGTTTTGCCTTGTCGAGATTTGATTTATTTATTATTATTTTTTCATTGGATCTTCTGTTTAAAAAATAATAATAAATAAATAAATTAGATCTAGACAGGACAAAACTATTTTGATTATAATTACTTTAAAATATATTAGTATGTAGTGTATTATAATAAAAAAAACGTAAATAAAATAAACATTTGACAATCTAGTCAGCAAAAACCTGGAGTTGACCTGTTAAAAATGTTGATTATTGCTCTTTTTTTTCGGGGTTCAATGACTTAGTTGGGGGTTATTTGAGTTCGATGGCTTAATTGATGTTTCTCAAATAGTTCAGTGGCTTATTTGTACTTTATCCCTATATTTTTTTACTAAAGCCCTCCATCATTGATGAATCTTGATGGGCGGATGAGATCAATCTTCACTTTTTACAGAGGACTATGTTCTTATTTGATTTATTAATCTACGATGATTAAATGCTAAAAATTAATGAAAAAGGAGAAAAAACACAACGGCGTTTCTGTAATTATAATTGTACATTTAGAAATACTTGACAGTGCATTTAAAAATGTTTTCAGTGCACATAAGGCACTACTTAATTCTCAACACCTTCATCCTCCGTGTCATCACAAGGGTTTCTAAATGCATTTTCAGTTATATGTGAATGCATTATCAAACATTTGAAAATGTACCCTCGTAATTACATAAAATTACAAAGAATGTCATCGCATTTTTTATTTTTTCCCCTTTTCATTATTTTTCAGTCTTTGGATTTGTCCGCGCTTCTAATTGAGATTGTTCTCATTTTATCCCAATTCTCGACACACACACACACACACACACACACACACACACACACACACACACACACACACACACAGAGAGATAGATATATATTAATGATCAAATGAAAACCATACCCAACATGAATATAAACAATCTACTACACGAAAGCACACAATCTACTCTAGGGTAGATTGTATGTATTATGTGCATCTATGTTGTAGTTTGCAATTGTGACCTAAAAAGTGATTCTCACTTGAACGTAATAAAATGCATGTAGTTATATTATGGTTATTAATTTTTACAATTATTAATTAATACGTTTACTTGTAAAATTATATTAATATTAATACAATTATATATATAAGTAATATAAATTTTATTTATTACATAAATTAAACAAAGTTATAAACTATACATTTTATAAATTTCATAACTTAATAATATTATAATTATAAAGTAAAAATAAAAATATTAGATATAAATTATAATTATATTTCAAATTAGTACAATAAAACATTTACACTAATAAATATAAACTTATAAATCATTCAAATAATCTTAGCCTTTATTTCTAAATTCCAACTAAAAATAATTAATATACTTACAGTACAATATACTCGTAATATTTACAGTTTTTAATTATTTATTATTTATTATTATAAAAGTAATTTTTTGTAATATGTTTATTAAAATTTTTATTTAAAAATATGATAAAAAATTCTATAAAAAAAAAAACTTACATATAAATTTCATGTATATTATCTTTTACATCACTTCTTTAATAAAGAATAAATTATCGAGCTAACCCATTAAATTTGGAGCTAGCCCCTATTGGACCATCGCTTATTGTTTTTGAGCTCATATGACTAATTTTTTATCGAGTTAACCCACTGGAGTCGTCGACAATCGTTATGCCTTGGACCCGTGTCCAGCATGCTTGCTGGACACGGGTAACAGTGCCGTTAGGCAATGTTATCTCCTTCCTTTTTTTTTTTTTTTTTTTAATTTCAGATCACTTTGTTATAGAAGTATATGTTCATAATTTTATTACTATATGTTAATAACTATACATTCATAACTCCATAACTGTACATTCATAACTCTATAACTGTACATTCATAACTCTATAACTGTACATTCATAACGTCATAACTGTACATTCATAACTCCATAATTGTACATTCATAATTTTCGAAGCTCTATGCTCACAATTTTAGAGCTCTATGTTCATAATTTTATCACTATATGTTCATAATTGTAAGTTCATAATGTTAGAGCTCTTTGTTCATAATTCGATCAATAACTGTACATTCATAATTCCATAACTGTAGATTCATAATCTCATAACTGTAGATTCATAACTCCATAACTGTAGATTCATAACTCTATAACTGTACATTCATAATCTTCGAAGCTCTATATTCACAATTTTAAAGCTCCATGGTCATAATTTTATCACTATATATGTTCATAATTGTAAGTTCATAATGTTAGAGCTCTGTGTTCATAATTTCATAATTGCATAACTGTACATTCATAATAAAAAAAAAAATAACGCCGTTAACGGCAAAACGCGCGCGATTTTTTTTTTTTAACTAAATGACGCGTTTTTTTTTTTAAATTGATGTCGTTTTGGGCTCGTGTCCACAATTCATTGTAGACACGGGTCCAGGGCATAATTTGCCAGTCGTCGACCTGTTAATTTCAATTTCAATTTTATCGGGTCAGCTTACCAAATTCCTATTTCCTATACAAACCCCCGTCTTTTCTGTGTCTCCCCAGCTCTCTAAACTCTCCGGGTGATCGTAAAAGCAACAGACGAAGACTTTTCTACGACATCGGCTGCTTTGCTACTGCTTTGATCGTTACGGAGAAACACTTCGAAGATGGTAAACTTCGAATCGATGTGTATATACACGCTATATGTAACTATGTTGATCTTTCATTTTGTATATAAATCTGTCTTGAATTTCCATTCAATGTAAATCGATGAGTTGTAGACGTAATCAAATTTGAAAATGCATCAGTTCGATGCGTCGATGATAAATTGTGTAAAGAGAATAAATTAGCTCAATGCAGGATTTGACTTCGCAATTCTATTGGCCTGTCTTTCATTACGATATTTAGTGTGTGCACCGAGTCTGATTAGGGTTTGCTTTTCAAGTGTCAATGTGGTGTGAAATGGGGTTTTTGGAATAAAGGTAGCACTGTGTTTGAACGGAATTTGAAGGTTTTAGGGCACATAGATCTCCTGTTTTCATTTTATCTTTCTCCCCCTACATTGAATTGAGAAATGGACTCAATATTTGGGTTAATGATTTTCAAACAGAGAACTGGGGGTAGTAGGAAATAGAGTCATTCAATCTAGGGAAAGGGGTTACAGTCTATTAAACAGCAATGACATAAAGCCAGTAAAATCTAAGGAAAGGGGTGGGCACAGATGCACTATACCAGTTAGAGAATTGTCTTGCTTCTGTTTGACATTTGAGAATGCTGCAGCTAGAAGGGTGTTGGAGGATGGCTGCTTGTAATGCCAAATTAGAATTACAATAGACTTATGTATGGACATAATAAGATTTTCTCTTATGACATGGCAAGACTTCTTGTGATTTGGATTTATGAAATGAAGAGAAGGTACTTATTCTTATCATGTAATGTGTTCTAAGGCTCTGTGTGTTAAGATTTTGCCCCAATATGTATTCTATTTAGGTGCTGATTTGTATGTAAGTATCGATTGATGAATTCATTTCATAGTTTTATAATGTGCTGCCTAAATTTGTATATTGAATATTAACAAGAGTTAGCATTAAATTGTGAGCAGGGAATGGTTATCTTTGTTTCTAGATACACATTATTTGACTTGGGTTACTTTTGTACTGAATTTACTAGGTACGTTTACAGCCAGACCCATTCCTCAATGAACTTACAAACATGTTTGAGCGAACTACAGAAAAGGGCTCTGTTTGGGTCACTCTCAAACACTGTAATTTAATGCCTCTGTTCATCTGAATTTTTTTTTTTTTTTTTTTGCCTTATTTTATTAAGATAATAAATTCTCTGTGCATCATGTATATGCAGCTTCTGATAAATCTAAAGCCAAGCGGAATAAACTGAAGAGTGCTGGTGAAAAAATTGAATATAAGTGCCTTATTCGAGCAACAGATGGGAAAAAGAACATTTCTACAATGGTAAAAATTGTTTAGCTCCATTTTTGTTTTTGAACTTCTTCTTGCTTGATTTTCATTGGATGGCAAATTTCAACTAGCTCTTTTCTGCATCTTGTGCTAATTCTTAAGAACCAACCTTTAATGTGTCAAGGGGAAAATAATATGCTTTAGCTCTCCGTACCCTTTGGATAAGAATTAGGAAACAAGTTTCACATAATTATAAGTGGTTTCTGCTTCATGCTTGCTTTGTTTTAAAAGTTCTGAGGCCCTTAGTTAAAAGGTAGCATGGAAAGTGTTGTGCCTTTAACTGCATTCTTCTAACTATTATGGTTTTCTACTGCTTGAATTTGACATAGCTTGATTTGAAATGAAAATTTGGTGAGACTCCTGAAATACCTTATTCTATCACATAAAATGGCACCCAATACAACTACTTTTATTCCTCAGCTTACATTCAAGTCATCAAGTGAACTTTCTTTCTCTACTGTAAAATAATAATTTTTCCACCTCTCTACCAGTTAAAAAATAGTGGACAGTTGGCATACAACTCCAGGTGTACTGAGGATAGTGCTCTGGGTTCACATCAACACCCACCCATTTTTTATTCCTAACTTCATGTATAAAGAAATTTGCCTTCACGTATAACTTCTCTATGCCTTTCCGTTCATTTAGGTCTACCTTCATGTTCACTTCACTCTGTAATGAACCTACAATTCAACCAAAATGCACATGGGCTTAACCAAAATGTTTTTACATAATTACATTTCTTTGAAAATGATGTTGAAGTTTTAAATAGAAGTCTAAAGTACCCAAATCTCAAAGTGAACTTTAGTTCTGATAAAATCAACATTAAGCACTATATAAAAATGGCAATGAAGTTCCATTTTAATGAACATGGTGTCCAAATATAATGACAACAGCATGTCTGCTGATTTCATTTATGCATTTGACACAAAATTAGGGGTCAACTTAGTCGTGCCATGTAGGATGTGACCACCATGTTGCTCTGGGAGCACGGGAGCACCAAGTATATTTCCAACAGTAGATATGTTGTCATCATGCTGGTTGAATTAATAGTAGGGCTCTGAATGTTTAAAATGTAATTCAGTCTCCTGTTTGTTTTCTATTTTGTTTTTTTGTTTTTCCCTCTGTTTTCCTCCTGATTGATTCATTTGAAGGAGTGAAAGAGCAACAATAAATAGTTGGCAGGACTATCCATTTTCTCTGCTATAATGCAATTGCTGAACTTCTGTGCTCTCTAGGTAATGTTGTTCTTGTCTGAAGGTCTGTGTTTAGATTGGCATCTTTCTAGTTGCACTTGCATGATGACTGACCTTGTTTGGTGGACTGGTATAGTTTGAGTTTATTGCCCACCTGCACAGATTTCCTTTTTAGTTTGTTGTATTTGATGAGAACTGGGATTTAACATGGTGCCAATCTTCTTTTGTGTAATTGGCAACTCAATTTAGATGGAGATGAATGAAAGCCATTTGGTTTATCCTTTCTATAGCTTAAAATGCCCATACTATGCCTTGCCTTGCCTTTAAAGTGGATGCTGCAATGCAGATTTGAACTATATTCTCTCATCATTGTTGTCACATTTAACTGTTTATGGAGGTTATGTTGATGTCATTTTTCTTGTCGCTGTCCATGCACTTGGTTTGATTGGAAAATAGGTGGGGGCGAAAGATCACCAGCGTTTTCAAGCTTCTTACGCAATTTTGTTGAAGGCTCAGATGACTGCGTTGAAGAAGAGGGAGAGGAAGGACCGGAGAAAGGCTGCAGATTCTGACAAGAAGCAAGATGGTTCGAAGAAGCAGCGGTCTGCTGCTCCCAAGGCCTCTTCTTGAATCAAAGTATTTGTTTGTTTCTTTCCTCATTTTTGCCTTGTACAATAGGGTTTAAGATTTCTTATCCCTTTTGGGACACAACCACTCTCTCCGATCCTTACTACTCTGCGGAATCCAGGTTAAATGAAAGGTGGAGGTTTTAGACTATTAGTTGTTTACTTTTTATTTTTTGGATAAAATTCATGAATATTTTGTTGAGGGTGTGTTTGGTTGTTAACTTCACTTTTGGCAAAATTGGTTGCATCTTGCAGGGCTTAACTGATGGCTTATGATTTTGATTTTCATCGTTTTTTGTTAGATTATAACAGAGTTATTATTTTATTAAATGCTTATTGGTGTTTAAAACAACAACAACAACAACAACAACAACAACAAAAAAAAAAAAAAAAAAGCTCTATGATTTAATGATAATTTTTGCTCGAGTGTCATGTGTATCCATGTTCATGAACAGAATTAAGTTGTTGATTGGCTCTCGACGAATTCTAAAAGTACAGAGTTCTAGAGGTGGCCACAGGCTAATTCAAGGTTGAATTAACTTTGACCAGCTTGGAAAAAAGTGGATCTAGACCGAATTTAGCTCAGACCAGAACTAACTTGTTAAGGGTTGGTTCAGATCTTAGCCCGACACGGATTGGCCCATGCCCGAGCACGGCCCAAGCAAACACAACCATGCTAAATTTATTTATTTTTTTTTTTAAAGTAATTTTGGCCAGCTGCCACAATCACATTGTGGCAGCTGGCCTTATTAGTTATTATACTTAGGCCTGCAACGTGCAACGGCCAAATTTCAATTTGGCCGTTGCACGTTGCAAGTTGCCTCTGTTGGAGGCTAGGCTAGGCCTGGCCGCAGAGGCTACCTGTTCTCGGCCAGTGGCCAGTGCAACGGCCAAATATTTGGCCGTTGCACTGGCTGTCTGGCGGAAGACTTTTTTTTTTTTTTTTTTTTTTTTTTTTTTTTTTTTTTTTTTTTTTAAAATTTACTCTATAAATACTTTTTATCAATTCATTTTTATCACACAAAATTTTTTAATTATACACTCTCTTATTTCTACTTACAACAATTCTCTATACATCCTCTTACTCTTTATAACTTTTACCACTCTTATTTATTTTTTATTTTTTAAATTTCTTTCAACCTCTCAAATTTTCAATTTCAATTTATATATTTTTAATTTCTTATAATCCTATATTTTTAATTCTTGCCACAATATGAGAAATGAAGGACAACTCCAAAGAGGACAAACGCAAATTTTCGGGTATGCTACCCTCGGCAGAGGTATTTTTACTTATTCACGAGAATCAATGATTGATGAATTTGGTAGATTTATAATTGGTGATGAATTACCTTTTAGTCAATCCGAAAGTACTCGTTTTGAAAGATTTGTTAAAAAATCTTTACAACCACAATATAAAAAAGTACCAATAAATACTTTAAAACGTGTTATCTATAAAAGCTTTCATATGTCAAAAGTTATGTTAGTTAATTATTTTGCAAATTTTAATGGACGTGTTGCTTTAACTAGTGATACTTGGACAACTGCTCAAGGCGAGTCATATATTTGTGTTACTTGTAATTGGATAGATAATAATTGGATACTCCAAAAGAGAATTATTGGTTTCGAATTAATGGAAGAATCTCATACTGCTTTTAATTTAAAAGAAAGAATAATAAATGTTTTGGATGAGTTTGAATTAAGAAATAAAATTTTTTCAATTTCTTTAGATAATGTTTCTTCCAATACTAGATCTATAGATTTGTTACTTGAAACCTTACCTTTACCTGTTAATGGTCAATTATTACATATTAGACGTTGTGTTCATGTTTTAAATTTATGTGTTCAAGAAGGACTACATAGTTTGAGTGATTTAGTTGAACCAATTAGAAAATGTGTTAAATGGCTTAGATACAATAAAAAACAAAAAAAGATGAATTTAAAATATTGTGTGCACAACATGGTTTAATAAAAAGATATTTTAGTTTAGATATACCTACTCGATGGAATTCTACATATAAATTGTTATGTGAAACTGCTCCATATCATGAGGTAATAACTATTTTGTATAATAGTAATCAAACTAGTGATGCTTGTGTAATTACAACTCAACATTGGGAAGTAGCTAGTAATGTTTGTGCAATTCTCCAATCGTTTGATAGTGCTACAAAATCATTTTCTTTAGTTTATGAGCCTAATGTTCATTTAGTTGTAACTGAATGCATTGCAATTGTTAGTACTCTTACTTCTTTTATTGAAGATCCTATTTTGTCTGGTTTAGTTCAAAATATGATAGACAAATTTGTATCATATTTTAGTGATATTCCTTATATTTATGGTTTAGCTGCTATTCTTGATCCAAATGTGGGTATAAATGGATTAAATGGTTTATTAGATTTTTATTATAGTTGTTTGCATTTTCCAAAGAGCAATTACCAATTTTGATCTCACGAGAATTAGCAAAATGACAGTTTTGGTCCACATGTTTAATTCCTACCAATTTTCATCCACCACTATTGTTTTAGTACCAATTTTCATCCACAACTATTGTTTTAATGCCAAAACTCATCACGCCGGTCACCCCTTCATTTAAAACATGCCGAAATATGAAATTATTAAGGGTAGTTTCGTGATTTTCAAATTAGGATCCCTATTTGAGCATAAATAAAGGGATTTAAGCAATAAGATATGTCCCAATTCACAGTTTTATTCCTCAAATTAAAGGTAGGATGAGGAGGAGAACTGTGAATTGAGATCAATCTTATGGCTTAAATTCATTTATTTATGCTCAAATTGAAATCTTAAGTTGAAAATGACGAAAATGCCCTTAAAAGTTTTAGATTTCAGGATGTCTTAAATAGATGGGTGACCGACGTGATGAATTTTGGTACTAAAATAATAGTCATGGATTAAAATTGGTACTAAAACAATAGTCGTGGATGAAAATTGGTAGAAATTAAACATGTGGATCAAAACCGTCATTTTACTAATACTTGTGGGACCGAAATTGGTATTTGCTCTTTTCCAAACTATGTTTAACGTGTTCAAAAGTATATTGATGATTGTTCTTATTTGTTAAAAAGTTTATATGAAGAATATTCTTCTACTTATGCACCACAATCTGTTGATCCCATTGTTGTCCGTAAGAGTAAGTGGCATAGTCCTATTGTTTCAACAATATTAAAAAAATCAAAGGGTTGTGGTAATGGTAATTCTTATGAAATATATACATATTTGTCTTCTAATTTTAAAATAAATGATGATTTTCATATATTAACATTTTGGAAAGGAAACGAAACAAAATTTCCTATTTTGTCAAAAATTGCAAAGGATATTTTTGCATGTCCTGCTTCAACAGTGGCATCCGAGTATGCTTTTAGTGCTGGTAAGGGAGTATTAGACGATAAAAGATCAAGTTTGGCACCGGATTCCATCAAAATTTGTGTCATGAAGAAAGATTGGGACGCTGCCGAAGAACGCACTCAAGATCAACTTGCACTAATTGAAGACGATGACATAGGTGAATGGTTAGCCATGGATACATCATGTGAAGCCACACCTATTGCTAGTTCTCGTGCAACCTCCGCCGGTACTTCCGATCAAGAATGAAAATGAGCTAATCCAGTGAGGTACGTACCAAGAACTACGAGGGCTTTGATTCCTCTAAATTATTGAGGATACGTAGGCATCTTAATTTTTACAATATTAAGAGCAAGCCTAATTATTTTTTTAAATGATTATAAAAATAAAGAACTACATGAGTATTGATTCCTCTAAATTATTCTGGATACATAGACATCTTAATGTTTCTCAATATTAAGAGCAAACCCAATTTAGAAGTCTTTTATAAATTTTTAATTTATCAATCTAACATAATTTAGTGACTAAAAATTAAATGAAATTTATAAACTATAATACATTTTATAATATTTATAAGTTATCAAATAATATTAAGTCGCCAAGCACCTTGTGCTAAGATGGCACCTCTGTGGCTCCCCTTGAGGGAAGGTCACAGAATCGAACCCCGGTGGTGGGGTATTATCTCTTTGGTCTTCAGTAGTTTGAGAGAGTATAGAACAGATATTACATTGTAATAGAGTTAATAGTATTCATGTTAATTTTTAATTTGAGATTAATAATTAAAATATTATTTTTAACAAAAGTATTAATTTCGAAAAAGTGTGTGTGTGTGTATTCCAAAATTATATTTCTTTAATTAGAATATATATTTGATTACAAGTTGATCTATTATGTATGACACAATATTTCTCTCCACATTAAGAATTTAAATGTAGACATTCACTATCTAATCAATCTTATAAAGAAAAAAATTGTATTTCAAAATATCAATGAAATTTTGCAAAAGTGAGAGTTCATATAAAACATATAACGACAATTGGGGCATCAATCATATACACAAGGAAAATTTATGAATTCGTACGTTATATCTTCATTGCATGAATCATTCTTTGATAACATTAGTAAGCTTATTATAAACATGTTACACCCAACAAAAAAAAAAAAAGAGATAACTTATGATGTCTCACCATGGTCATCAAAATCACATTAAGAAGACTTAGTTTATTTTAATATGAAAATTGTTAGAACATGATTTTTATTTTCAATCATAACTATTTATAATAATATTCATCTTTACTAATACTTTTATCCCAAGTTAAAAATACTCATTTTAATTATATTAAATAATTAATTTTATTTTATATTACAATAATTAACTTTCACATTTAAAAATTATATTAATATTAAATTGGACATTACTACATTAGAGTGCAATGCTAGCTTGTATTATAACTAGTTTTTTTACATAAATGTCAAAATTATTATTTTTTTGAAATTAATTTACATTAAACATTAGTGTTTTTCAGTTTGTACATTTTTTAAGTTTACTTTCCCATATAATAGGGTACACATTTAGAGTTCACATATATTATAAAATATATGCATGTTTATGAGTGATGGTACAGATATGAGCCGGCCACTTATTAACATTATTTGATATTTTTTCAGTAAAAATTTACTTTATTCGATTAGTTATATTCATAAAGAAGTCAATAAATGTGCAGATTAGATAACATGTAACCATCATTTTATTTTTAATTCTCGAGACCTTTGCTTTCGAAATCATACCACCTCCCAAAAAAGCATTCTATGAATAATGTTGATGAAATGAAACAAAAATCAGAGTGTATAAAAAAATACCCAAAAGTGGCGGATTTTAGATATATAAAAACAAGTGTACATATTCTACGCTTATCTACTTTGGATTTTGGACACCCCCCCCCCCCCCCCCCCCCCCCAAACGCACCTTCTTCTTTACTGCCTAATCATTTGAATTTCATCCTAAAAATGAGGAATTCTATTTGCAAAAATTACATTATTATCTCAATTTTCCTTTTGGGAGTCTTCACTGTCTCGCCGTGTTACGCATCCTCCCCTAATGGCAGCGAGTCGGTTTCCGGGATCGTCACCGCCGCGTTCTTCGACGGAATCGCCGGGAAGGCGTCGGCGAGCTGCGAGGCGAAAGGATTCTACACGCGAGCTGCGTTTCTGGAAGCAGCCGAGTCGTATCCCAAGTTCGGAACGGTCGGCTCAGCTGATGTCGCGAAGCGGGAGGTCGCTGCTTTCTTCGCCCACGTCACCCATGAAACTATCCGTAAGTTATTCCCATTTTCTCCCTTCTACCATTTGCTTTCAATATTGAAATATCGCCGGATACGTTTAGTTGGAAGGAAGAAATTAGAGAAAAAATAAATTATAATTCAATGAGTTTAGTTGGAAGGAAGAAATTAGAGGGAAAATAAAGTGTAATTCATTGAAAATAAAGTAAGATGAAAAAAAGGAGTGGTATAAAAATTAAAATATTTTCGTTAATAATAATATTAATAATAATCAATGATAAAATAATCTTTTTCTTTCTTTTTCTCTTTCCTTAACGCGTTCACGAACTATTTGTTAACATTTGCGAATGTGTTCATTAATGTTCGCGAACACGTTCATGAACGCTAAATAAACAAACACATGTACATGTTCATAATTATAATTTGTTCCCTGAACATGAAATAATCTAGGTTTACAAATAATAATCAAACAACAACATAACGTCTATAAAAATAATGCAAATAAGTCCAAAAGTATTTTTTTTTTTGTTTTTTAAAATATATAGGCTAAACGCCTAAACTAAAATAAATTGTATTTAAATGACTTTATTCGTTAACAATTTTAAACGAGCACCCCGAAAGCTTTGTTCGATAATACCACTAAGCTCAAATAGTGGGGCTATAAATAATGTAATCTTGGAGAATCAAACCCTAGTATTAGTGTTGGAAGTATCATATCACAAACCACCAGATAAGGGAGATTTACTAACTTAGTGAACCAAGAAATGAGGTCTTAAGAGGAAATAAGGGTGCCTATTTAATTAATAGTGTAGAGAAACATCCATATGTTAGACAAATGTGTAACTCTAGCTTGCTTTCATCCTGATCATACATGTGTTTTTCCACTACTTGGATGCTAACAATTTTCACACTGGTAAAACCCTTTAATGTATGATATCTTGACTAGTTTGGGTGGTTGATGCTTGTGTTGTTATTACATTGGGTGTAGGTTCAAATCTAGCATGTTGGCTACACTAAACTTAATATTTTATTAAGTTATATCGATAGTACAAAATGCATGATCATAAAGTTATGTACAAAGTGGTAATTTTAGTTCTTCATTGACTATTTTTACCACCAATTTTTTCACTTAATAAAGTGACTGATTCGGTCCTTCAAGTACTAAAAATCTTCACTTCATACATAATTTAAGAGTTAAAATAATCACACATATAACTCATGGATGAAGTGGCGATTTTAGTTCTTCATTGACTATTTCTATCACCAATTTTTCACTTAATAGAAAGTGAAGGGGGTTCCTTGTGCGCAATGAGCACGGTCTAGCCTCTGTGGTTCATGTTCAGTTGAGTTACCATGATTTACATCCTCCCAAATGCTCTGTCGGGTCGGGGTGTGGGGGCCCTTAGGGTTGGGGTTCAGCCATTTGGAATAATTTTTCACTTAATAAAGTGACTGATTTGGTCCTTCAAGAAAATTGCCACTCCATACATAAATTAAGAATTAAAATGGTCACATATATAACTCATGGATTAAGCCTGTATCTTATAACGACTAAAAGTGTAATTTTTCCTTAATAATAATGCAGAAATGTGTTACATAAACGAGATCAACGGCACCACCAGAGACTACTGCGACGAAACCGACACAGAGTACCCCTGCGCCTCCGGCAAGATGTACTACGGCCGGGGACCCATCCAACTATCCTGGAACTTCAACTACGGACCCGCCGGAAAAAGCATAGGATTCGACGGCCTAAACAATCCCGACGTCGTGGCTAAAGATAGTGTTATATCCTTCAAGACAGCCCTGTGGTTTTGGATGAAGTATTGCCATTCCCTCATCGTCTCCGGCAAAGGCTTCGGCGCCACCATTCGAGCCATCAACGGTATCGAGTGCGACGGCGGCGGCCCTCGCTCAGTTAGGAATAGGGTTAAGTATTTTAAGGAGTATTGCCGTCAATTTGGTATTCAGACTGGGGATCGTCTCACCTGCTAGCCGATACATACATACATTTCGCATTTTCTCCCTAATTTAATTTGTTGGTGAAGATGTGTAACGTAACTATGTAAGCTCTACTGTGAAAGTTTAATTTGTAATCGAGATTATAATATAATGTTGCATTAATAAATTGAAAGTTTTAATACATGCAATGTAGACTAGTCACTCGATTCATTAATTATTACTCTATACAAATGTTTTCATTTAATTATGTGTAAAGTGTGTAATGAATGACCTATTTGACCATTATTTCATTTACTTTTGTATATAACATAATAACTAAAAAAAAAAAAAAATTCAAACAAATAACCTACTAAGCTCACCTAAAATTTAGTTGAGATAATATTAATTTTTTATCTAATATTTAAAATATTTTTTTTTTTGGATATGTTCATTTGAATGAGATGTGTGTGTGTGTGTGTGTGTGTGTGTGTGTGTGTGTATATATATATATATATATATATATATATATATATATATATATATATAGAAGAGCGCTCATATGCGGCGGGGTCTTACGGTGCGGCGGTGCGGTCAAATTCCAGAATACACCAACAGTGTTAATAATATGCACCAACAGTGTAATAAAAACACACCCCAATGAAATGTAATAAAACATCACAAAATACACCACAGACTCAAAAAAACACACCATATAACTCACCACCCCCAATTGTGTATTTCCGAACAGTGTATGGTGTTTTTACTCACACCTAATGGTGTGTGTTTGGTGATGCAGGGCTCTGTTTACTCTGTTTTGTGTGGTGTATTTCCTAACGTTGATGGTGCATATTTGGTGAACTATTGGTGTTGCCGCACCGTAAGAAATAACCGCACCGTAAGACACTGCCGCACCTGAACCCGCCTAGTGATCACATGTGGCCATGTTGTTAGGTCTGGTCATATGGTCAATTATAGGCCATTAGATTAGATAGATCCAATGAATCATATTAATCAAGGTTTTTCCAATATTTTCGCGCACATTCTCCTACCCAGCAAACTGCAAGGGTAAACTCGTCATAAAATACTAGAATAGGGAAAATCAAATTGATGTGTGTTTTATTACACTATTGGTGCATGCATGTTGTCAACACTGTTGGTGTATTTTGAAACCCGGCCGCTATAAATGGCCACTGTAATTACCATAACACGGGAATACACCATAAGTGTGTTTCACTGTGGTGTATTTTATTACACTATTTGGTGTACGTTGTCAACATTGTTGGTGTATTCTGGAACCCACCAGCTATAAATGGCCACTGCAATTACCATAACACCCCCACTTACCAAAATGTGCGAAAATTCTCAGAATTACCACAACCATTAGATTAAACTGATTCAACGACATAGATACGACCACACCTAATGACATGACAACATATGAGCGCTCTTTTATATATATATATATATATATATATATATATATATATATATATATATATATATATATATATATATATATATATATATATATATATATATATATATATATATATATACACTTTAAATTTTAATATATGTGAAATTTCAATATCTGATATCCAAATCGAACTTGTATTATGATATAACATAACTACAAATATCCGAACCAATAACCTATTGAGTTCAATCAAATGTGAAACATTGTATAGAGTTCAATTTTTAATTTTGATAATATGAATAATGTATAACTTTAAAGTGTAAGCAACTAAGTTATAGTAAAATAAGTAGAAAAGATAGAAGATGTTGATAAGTAAAGAAAATAATAATAAATATAATCATAGTGGTTATAATGACATATAACCAAATATATGATAGATGATTCTATTTTGAGTAAATGCCAGCCAAGGTCCTCCGAATTCGGTGGTTTCGCCACCTTTAGTCCTAAACTTTCAAATCGATCATTTGTGATCCTCCGAGTTTCAAAATCGACCCGTCATAGTCCTTCCGTTAAGATATCTCATCTTATCCATGAAAATTAAGGGTAAAATAGTCTTTTTATTGCAACCCCAGCCAAAACAATTCATTTTCCTCATAAATTAGGTCTAATCAATTTCTTCGTACCTTCTTCCTCCCATTTCTCCTGTCGCGACCAGTGTTGTTCCAGAGGGTCCAACTCTTTTTCGGAGGGCCCAACTCTTTCCCGGATGCAATAAAATGAACAGTTTTGGCAAGGGTTGCAATAAAAAGACTATTTTGCCTTTTAGTTTTACAGGTGAGACGAGATATCTTAACGGAAGGGCTACGACAGGTTGATTTTTAAACTCGGAGAATCACGAATGGTCAATTTGAAAGTTTAGGACTAAACGTAGCGAAACCACCGATCACGGAGGACCTTGACTGGTATTTACTCATTCTATTTTCTATTTTAAAAATAATTTTTTAGAGTTTTTAAATTTTTTTAAAAAAGAAAAATTATTTTAATTTTTAAAATATAAAATCGTGCTAGTAAACATATTTTTTGTTTTCTATTCTTCCATTTTTCTAAAAACTGAAGAAATTTTTCATAGCACATGCGTGGAATCTTGTATTTGCGCGTAGGACGTAATGTTGGTCATCATTCAAGGCGCGTAAAAGTGTAAAGCACAAGGTACTAGCAACCGCGTAATCCCTACTTACATCATCCTGCATCTACTTTTAAAAAGATGTACTCCGTGTTTTTTTTTTTTAAATAAATAAATTATCATTCACTTTTTTGAATTTTAAATTAAATAAAACTCAACAAGTGAAAAGTTAAAACAATAATCTAAACATATTTTAAAAAGAATATATTTAGAAATAGTTAATAATATATAAATTAGAAAAGTTAATTTTTTTTAGTCAGACCACGAAGTGTCCTGAACAAGTCTTAATTGTGTAATCAGACAGATCTAAGTAAGATGTAAAATGCTAGTCAAATTGATTTTTTTTTTTTTTTTTATATATGAGAGGTGATTTAAATTTCTGACCTTTCTTAAAAAATAAGAGTTTACGACCATCCACACTAACCAAACTGGCTATAAAAGTTAGCTTTGTCTATAAAAGTTAGCTTTATTTTAGAACAAATTGAAAAGAAAATAGTGCTAACAAAATGGGACGTCGCGAGGAAGTAAATGTAGTGGCGTAGTGCAGGGTCACCCCTAGACACGTGCCCTGATCTCAAAGAGGCCGGCCGCATAAGGTCCCTGAATTATGCCATAATTACTAATTTGGTCCTCAACTACCATTCTTACCTAATTAAGTCCTCAATTAAGTAACTTTTACTCAATTAAGTCCTCAACTATACAATTCTTACCCAATTTAGTCCTCAACTATACAATTCTTACCCAATTTAGTCCTCTGTATTAATTTGACTGTTTGTTGACTGTCAAAAGTCGGGATAAAATTATAATTTTACAAGATTTCTCCTTCCTCTCCATTTAGCAGCGCCAAACCATGCAGCAATACACTCCGATCAGATTTCGATCGTCAAAAAATCGTTGGAAATCAAATTCATGGGCTATCCGATGCATAACCACTACTTCGATACTGACAGGTTTATAACCCAACCGGAGCTTATTGCTACATGGTTTGGCGCTGCTAAATGAGGTGGAAGGAGAAAACTTGTAAAATTACAACTTTATTTCCACTTTTGACAGTCAACAAACAGTCAAATTGACAAAGAACTAAATTGGATAAAAATTGTATAGTTGAGGACTTAATTGAGTAAGAATAATAGTCGAGGACTAAATTAATAATTACGACATAGTCGAGCGACTATTTTGGGTATTAACTCATATTAATATGTATATAATATATAATTTTGTTTTTATTGACAATTAAATCCCATGATGCTCTTCCTATGGAGTAAAATGTCCACCTGAGTCACAACGGACATCATTGCTTCCGTATCCAATTCTCCAAGCCCATCTAATTCCAAGCATTAAAGCAATAAAGCTTAATCCTTTTATCAACAAAGCAATTTAAATATCCTTAAATATAAAGACATTTCTGTCTTCAATTATGAATATTCTAATATATATATATATATATATATATATATATATATATATATATATATATATATAATATAACGGTTTAACCTACTTTGTATAAAAAGATTGAAATATTTTTGTATCTAACAATATTTCAACGATTTTGTTGATGAATGATTACAAATAGTCATGCCACAATAATACTAGTACCAAATGAGGATATTTTAATAAAAAAGATTAAAATGTGAATTGTCATCTATAAATCTAGGACCCAAAACAGAATTTACACTCAATATATTATTTATTTATTTGCTTTCTTGGGCGTAGTGAATTATATATATAGTTACTCAAATATCAATTAGGCATCTTTCGGCACAGATGTGAAACTTTGTGAATTAAAAATGATGGCAATTGAGTCATCCACTGTTATAATCAAGGATTAAATTGAAAAGAATGAATATAGTTGATGACTAAATTAGTAAAATTACTATAGTTGAATATTAACTTGAGTAAAATTATTATAGTTGATGATTAAATTATGTATTAATGGAGACGAAATTATCAAGTTATTTTAACAGATGACTTAATTAAGAAAACCATCAAATCAATGACTTAATTAAGCATAAAAAGTCGTTTAGGACTAAATCGAAAAAAATCACTATAGTTGAAGATTAAATTGGATATTAACTCTATCGAAATGTATCCTTATATGCAACTAAAGTTCAAAAATAAATAAATAAATAAATTCTACATATATAAAAATATGTTTAAACATTTTTTGGGTATGAATTAAATATCTAAATAAAAATTTGAAATATTGTTATGATTATATAGTATAATTGGATAAATGACAGGAATGTGTAAAGGGGCAAGAGAAATGACAAAAATGTGTGCTGACTTTTTTTTTGACAGAAATATGTAAAACTCAGTTACCACTTGCGTTTTTGGAGTGATCCTGGATGTATTTTTTTCATTATTTACGTAAAACGCAAAGGTGACTTGCATTTTTCGTATTGTATACCATAAACGCATCTGCCAAATGCGTTTTCATGTGACGTATGGAATACGTTAAACGCATTTGGGAGATGCGTTTTACGTATAATCCAAAAAATACGTAAAACGTAAATCCGAAATGCGGACTATTACCATGGGTTTAGAGGGCGCCATGTTGACTCCGGCGGAGAGAGGTGGTCGTCAGATATCCGGCGGAAGAGAGAGGAGAAACCGGCGAGCATAATATATTTCTTCTTTTTTTCTTTTGGGTTGTTTTTTATTTTTTTTTTTCTTTTTCTTGAAGACAAAAAATTAGGGAATAGAAAGGGAGGGAAAAAGATTGAAATGAAGAGAAGTTGGCGAAAGGCAAAGGCTATTGTTTTTTTGCGAAGAAAACGATAAGGCAATGGTGGTCGTAATTAAAATACGTTGCTTTCTCCTCCCCGAAAAGTGGCCGGAAAATTTATAACAATTACAAAACGCAATTACAGTTTGCGTTTTACCTATTCAAACCAAAAATGCATGTGCTAATTGCGTTTTGTGCTTCTATCCGTTCTTCCGGCGACTTCGCGATCGCCGGAAACTGCAGGTACAAAAAAACCAACAAACGCAACTTACTTTTGCATTTTCGGTATAATACGTAAAACGTAAGAGTAAGTTGTGTTTTTGCCTATACAGTATCCCTTAGAAAACGCATTTAGGTAATGCGTTTTACGTATACGAATACGTAAACGCAACCAACTCTTGCGTTTTACAGAAATACCGAAAAAAAAAAATACGTCGGGACACAACCAAAAACGCAACTCCCAAAGGAGTTTTGCATATTTTTGTCAAAAAAAAAAAAAGGCAACACACTTTGGAAATTTCCCTTGGTTGACCACACATTCCTATCATTAATTGACACAAAATATGAATATTTAAATTTTTTTCAAGAAATTTTAAATTTTGAAATACAATTATTACAAGATATAAAAATATGAATTTTCTAAACTTATAACAATAAGTGCGCAAATTACCACCATGTATATTGTAGATCCCCTGAACCTATTCTTAAGATATTATATATATTTTTACTTAAATGGATTATGTACATAATATGTTAACACAACTATAAATAAATAAGTTAAAAGTATATAATATGTTAACGGTATGTATATAATTTAGACTATGGTCAAGAGAGGATATAGAAATGACAAGAATTGGTAAATTATTGTGTGGGCTATGGTCTACACAGTAGCACAAAGCAAATTATGCTACGCAACTGTGTGCACCATGCAAGGTGCATATGGAATTAGATCCATAATTTCTATACTATAAGATCTATAATTTCTATACTATAGATTCATAATTTTTATACTATAGATTTATAATTTGTTTTATAATTCCCATACTATAGTTTCATAATTTGTTTCATAATTTCTATACTATAGATTCATAATTTTTATATTATAGATTCATAATTTCTATACTATAGATTTTGTGAATCTATAATTTATGTATAGAAATTATGAATCTAAATTATAGAAATTATGAATCTATAGTATAAAATTATGAATTTATAGTATAAAAATTATGAATATATAGTATAGAAATTATGGATTTATATAGAAATAATGGATCTTATTCTGTGTGCACCTTGCATGGTGCACACGGTTGCACAGCATAACGATTAGTAACACAATGCTGTGTACGTGGACCATAACAAAATGTACATTTTTAATATATTAACAGTACATTATTTGTGTATTGAATGTATATTATACAAAATAATATAATTTCAGTATTCAAATAATATATTTTTTCTGAATACAATGTACATTTATATACTAAAAGTATATTATTTTTGTACTGAATATACATTATTTGATAATATCGTCCATATAGCTGTGTGAACTATGTTCCACGTAATAATGATGGGTAAGAAGTGACATTTTTTTTATTGAATTATGAGTTCTATTGCATGTATTTTCAATTTTTTTACTGCATTTCTTGATGTGATGGCCAGTGATATGTTATTTTTTTTCATGTGGATTCCTGTAAAAGTGACTATATCAAAATTTTAAATGTGAGAATAAAAGTTGAAATTAGAGAAATAGAGTACATATTGTGTTTTCCAATTGTTGGAACTAAAAAAGAATTGTACTATTGAATGTGGACCACTAATTTAATTGGTGAATAGTAAACTTCTTCCATCTTGATGTTAAATTGCTCAGAAAAGAGCAGGACACGCTTTCTAAATTTAAGTAGCACTGCAACATTTCATATTTATATCAAGTTATCAACGTCTATATATAATATATCTCAAATATATCAGATTATCAACAATTCCAAAACTCAAACCTCCACTCTCGCTCTCAAGTATCACCCATCTCTCTCTCTCTCTCTCTCTCTCTCTCTCTGTTATACCTTCACTTGTTCAGACGAAAAAAATGGCGGAAGCAGCCATTAGCTTACTGGTAAACAGGCTAGCCCAAGTTGTGGAAGAAAACGCCACGCTAATCCTCGGCATCAGAGACCATGTGGAAGAGCTAGTGAACGACCTCAACTCGTTCCAAGCCATACTCAGGCAAGCATCGAAGCACGAAAGCAGCAACGACAACGATGTCCTGAGGGACGTAGTGGATAAGATCCGAAGCGTGGTCAACGAAGCCGAGGATGCCATCGACAAGTACCTAGTGGATACCAGGAAACACAAGTCCAAAGGTACGGTGATGAGGTATTTGGATAAGGTTGCTTACTATTCGAAGGCCAGCGATGCTGCGAAGCAGATAGATGCCATTAAAGGAAAAGTGGCGAAGATTAGAAAAGATCATGATGCTGGCCTTAGGGAACTCCAACGTGATCCAACTGAAGCTCAGTTGTTCCTCCAAAGAAAGGTATATCACAAGATATTGATTTCTGTTAGTTCTCAATAATCTTTAGCTTTTTTTGTGTCAATTTTGAAATTATAATTTGGGAAGCTACAAAATGGGATTCAGTTTGAAATATGGGTTCTTAGTTCACTAATGAGGGTAGAATTTGGGGGTTTTATTAATTGATTAAATTTGATTTATTTAATTAAACAATTTATAATCAAAATGGCATTTTATTATACTAATTTTTGTGTCAATTTGTAAATTGTAGTTTGGAAAGCCTAAAATGGGATGCAATTAAATTATGAGTTGAAATCTGGGTTCTTAGTTTGCTTATGAGTGCGACATTTGGGAGTTTTATTTATTAAATTATTTTACATTATTTTTCTAAACAATTAATATTCAAAATGGGATTATAATTTACTACTTCTTATGTCAACATGGAAATTATATTTTGAAAAGCTTAAAATGGGATTTCAATAGATTCTCAGTTTCAAATCTGGGTTCTTGATTCGCTAATGGGTGGTATGAATTTGAGGGTTTTTTTTTTTTTTTTCTTCTCAGTATTGATCAGTTTTATTAATTGATTTTTTTTTTGAAGGGATTTTATTTGAGTTACTTTATTTATATAAACAGTTTATATTCAAATTGGGAATATGTTTTACTATTTTTTGTGTTGACATCGAAATTATACTTTTGAACGCTCAGAATAGGATTAAATAAATCCGCAGAATATTTCTTAGTTCACTAATGAGTGTGAAATTTGGAGTTAAATTAATTGATTAATTTTATCTTATTTATTTATACAATTTGTTCTGAGCTAATTTTATTTTGGTTTCTCAAGTATTGTGGTTTTCACCTTTTACTTTAGTCTTAAATGTGACACATGTTCATTAATTGGAGACTAAATTTGATTAATGTTAAACTTATGAGCTAAAAGTGGAAAGATGTAATAGTTGAGCTAGGAATTAAAATTATAATTAATTTATTTGTTTGTCATTGTTCAGTTTCTTTTAGCTCATTAGACAAAAGTTTTCTAGTGCTATCAATTATCAAATGCCCAATTGACCTTTTTTTTCTAAAAAGAAATATGGAGTTGATTTAAACAACCTTTTTGAAAAACTTGTGTTTATAGTCACATTATTAATAGAGTAACATAAAACCTATTTAAAATGCTCAAAGAAGTGGAAAAAGCATAAGATGAAGGGTTAACTTATTACCATTATATCAAATTTGGAGGGACTAGTATGTCAACTAATAAGCAGTTTGGTTTTTACTTTGGCAAAATCCCTAGAAGTATTACACTTCGTAATTAGTATTACAGCATAAGAGCATATAAGTATTATATTTTCATTTTGACCGAACCTATATCACGGATAATGATTCGTGAGACATGGAGACTCACCCTTTTACTTTAAGGATAAAAGTAGCATCTTAATGAAATGGTGTCATATTGAAGTCAACATTTCATTTTTCCTTGATTTAATTTTCTTAAATTTTTAACAAGGCTCCTGTTGTGGAAGAAGATGATGTTGTGGGGTTTGATGGAGAGGCGAAAGCTATAAAGGATCGTCTTCTTGATAAATCCAATGAAATGATTGTCATCTCAATTGTGGGAATGGCTGGGCTTGGCAAGACCACTTTGACCAAAATGGTGTTTAATGATAGCGAACTTCAATATGAGTTTTTTACTCGAATTTGGGTATATGTCTCAAAAACTTTTAGTAGAAGGCAAATATTCCTTGATATCCTGAGTAATTTCACCAAGAAGACAAAAGACTACCATGATTTGTCAGATGATCTGTTAGCTAATAAAGTGAAGGAGTTTTTAGAGGGCGGGAAGTATTTCATTGTGGTCGATGATGTGTGGAGCCAGCTAGACTGGGACCATTTGAAATCCGCCTTTCCTCGAAACATGAAAGGTAGTAGAGTCCTTTTAACAACTCGGCATGAGAATGTAGCTTCACATGCAGATTCGGGTAGTAGTCCCCACCATTTGAAATTTTTAACAAATGACGAAAGTTGGGAGTTACTGAGGAGGAAGGTTTTTCGCAAGGAAAATTGTCCTCTTGAAGTGCAAGCGTCCGGGAGACTTATAGCTATAAAGTGCAAAGGACTACCTCTTGCGGTTGTAGTGATTGCAGGTGTCTTGAACAAAAACAGCGCGTCTGTTGAGTGGAAACAAGTAGCTGATAATCCCTTTGCTGAGATTAATCGAGAGAAGCAAAGCTATCACGAGCTAGTGAAGTGGAGTTACGATCATTTGCCTTTCTACATGAAAGATTGTTTCCTTTACCTTGCTGCATTCCCGACGGGACACAATATTGATTCTTGGAGGTTGATGCGCTTGTGGATAGCCGAGGGGTTCATTCCACCCACGGAGGGAGGCTACACCTTGGACTTGGAGCGTACAGCAGAGAAATACTTGAAAGATCTCATTGATAGGAATCTTCTCATGGTATTGAACCGAAGAGCAGATGGTCAAATCAAAACATGTCGTATCCATGACACATTGCACGAGTTTTGCAAATCTGAAGCGGGCAAGAAAAATCTCTTCCACAGCATAGATGGCACCAAATTGGAGGCCAATAATACTAGTAACTACCGTCGCCTTTGTGTCCATTATTCTCTCATTTTGAAGTTCCTCGCCTTAGATAAAAAGCCATCTGGAGAAAATATTCGATCTTTCTTATCATCATTCTCAAAAGAAGTAGAAGTCCCAAATGATTTCTGGACAACCATCCCAAAAGCCTTTCCAACTCTTAGGGTATTAGATATTGAGTACCTCAAATTTCAAGTGCTTTCCAAAGAATTTTATCATCTCTATTATCTTAGGTACCTATCTATCTCAACTGACCTCAAAATCCTCCCCAAACAGTTCAACAATCTTTGGAATATGCAAACTCTCGTGCTCAAGACATCACAGAATACGATTGAAGTTAAGGCAGATATTTGGAGCCTGACAAAACTAAGGCATGTTCTCATCAATGCTTCTGCACAGCTTCCTCCTCCTTCGAAAAGCAGCAAACCAAGCTCTTTAGCTATGGACTTACAAACACTATCCACAATATCACCAAGTAGTTGCACCGAAGAGATCTTTGCTCGAATCCCCAATCTTCAGAAACTGGGAATTCGTGGGAATTTGTCAGAGCTTCTAGAGAGCAGGGGAGGGAGTTGTTTGTTCGACAATATTCACTCATTGGATCACCTCGAAAACCTAAAATTGTTGCACGATGCCGCCATTGGTCAGGCTAGCAAGCTGCGAAGCATTCCTCGTGCTGAGAAGTTCCCTCGCAAGCTAAGGAAGTTGACATTGTCGAACACATCGTTTGAGTGGAAGGACATGTATATACTGGGATCTCTCGAGGAGCTCGAGATCCTAAAGTTGGAGGAAAACGCCTTTAGGGGCGAGTTTTTGGATCTAACCAATGTTGCTTTTAAGCATTTGCAGCTCTTGCGTATGGGAAGGACAGACTTGGTATCCTGGACCGCTTCCAAGAATAGCTTTCCAGTACTAAAACATCTTCACCTGAGACATTGTGCTAATCTCGACGCTGTCCCGCCTTCATTTGCTGAAATCGAAAGCCTCAGAGTGGTCGAGTTGTTCTGTACAAACAGTAGGGCAGCTATTTCTGCTCGCGAGATATTTAAACCGAAACAAGAAAAGCATAATACAGAGAGGAGCGGTACATTTGTGTTCTCTATCTATCCTCCTGATCAGTAATTTCAACTCGGTTGCTCTATCACATTGCTACAAACAGGTCGGTTTTATTCTTTTATCTGATATATTTTGAAGTTAGTATAGCTTTTGTTTTGCACTTTTTTATGATAAAGAGTGCTTTGTTCTTCAAAAAGTAACATTTTTTTCTTTCTTAAAATTAACCTATGCAGACATTTGTTCTAAGTGGCACAACAAATAAATGGTGGCATGAACAAATCTCATCTGCAATGTTCTTCTGAATGGTTAATGGTGGAGTGTTGTGAGAAGATTTCAATGTGTAAATGTTTTCTAACTGTTGACAGAACAGTTGTGTTGTTATTAGTTGACAGTTTGGTTTGTTTTTAACTGAGAAATGGAATGTAATGAATTGGCTTTTGTTTAAATTTACTTGCGGCCTTAAAAGCATACCACTTCTTTCAATTATTATACCATGGATCAGAGTTCACCTTGTATTGGGAATCATGGTCCAAAAATTATGTGCAGTTATTATATTATGTGTCTGCAGTTAACAAATTATATGTATGTAATAAATTAAATGCACATAATATGTTAACTACAGACACAAGTAATATAGATCAATGAATATATGTTAGCCCACACTTTGACTAGGAAACAAATTCTCAGTCTAGTCTTATTATTAGACATAGTACTATTAAATAATCTACTCTTTGTTAGTGACACTATTGATGTTTAAATTGCAAGATCAATATGTATATATTTGTATAGTACTCCGTAACATGCAACAAAATGTACTCGATCACTACTACTAACGTAACCCAAAATTTGGGCATACTCACTGCATCAAGAAATATAATCCTATTATTCGAGATTGAAACAAAATGGCTAACTCTGAAAAAGTGTACTAATAGACAAGGACACCTTTATGATGGTTTAATAAACGTATAGTAACAAGCAATGCTATGGCTTAATGAGGGTTCGCAATGAGTTACGGACTTATGGTAGAGCTGTATGAACCCTTTACTTTGAACAAAAAACGTTCTCAAAGAAATTTAGAATTAAACTCACCATCCATATAAAGTTCCACATATGAACCTGGCCTACAACCATATAGATACATGCCAATCTTTATTTTGAAAAAAAAAAAAAAAAAAAAAAAAAAAAAAAACAACAACAACAGCAACAAAGCAGCGAGAAATAAGATGCCTTGGAGAAGCCATATATCTGAAGATTTTATTTGATACTCCTGCACCATTTTTTTTTTTTTAAAAAATTAACAATAATATACTTTTGATGAATGGTAAATTAAAGGTAACAGTACAAAAACTAACTGACCTTTTGATTTGTAGAATCAGGCGGCATTGCAATAGATGGAGTTGAAGTAGTACAGTCAATGATGAGGAGGCAAAATAGAGAGCACAAAATCCAAGTTAGGTTTCTGGCGTAGTATACTCCTTGCAGAATTAGCAGCCCGTTGGTTGGTATAAAACAAGTCAATAATCTTGAGGCTCTTCACATCCTTAAAGGAAAGTGGGACTTCATTAAGTTGTTCACATTGCGATATGTAAAGCCGTCTCAATACTGGGAAGCTACTCTGCTCACAACTCCAGTACACCAAGTCCGTTCTCCCAATGCCCAAGAATTGAAGGCTCCTAAAAACAACATCATTGTTCAGTTCCCAACAATCTCCCTTGACTGCTAATTCCCCCAACTTGAGGACCTCCAGCTCTTCCAGGGATCCCAATACGCAAATGTCTTTCCAATCAAAGGACGTCTTGGATAAAGTCAGCTTTCTTAACCTGCTTGGGAATCTGTCAGCTTGTGGAATAATAGGCCGCTGCAGTGTGGTAGCTTCATAATTGAAAGCTTCATGCATGAGTTTCAGCTTTTCGAGTTTCTCCAACTTTCGTATATTGTCAAACAAGCAAATTCCTTCCTTGCTCTCTAGAAGCTCTGCTACAATATTCCCACGGACGCCTAGTTTCTTAAGGTTAGGCATCTTGTCAAAGATCTCTTCAGTGCAGCTTTTGGGTGATATGGTGGAAAGAGTTTGCAATAATTCTGGACATGATGATGAAGAAGAAGAGTTGTCTTGGCAACTTTGTGAATTAGGAGGGGGGAGTTGCAAAGAGGCATTTGACAGGATATGCGTTAGTTTTGGCATGTTCCATATCTCAGCCTTAACATCAACTGTACTTTGCGATGTTTTGAACACAAGAGTTTGCAAGTTCCACAGATGAGTGAATAGTTTTGGAATGATATTGTTGTCAGTTGAGATAGCCAAGTAACGTAGATGATATAAGTGATAAAGCTCTTTGGGCAATATTTCAAATGTGAGGGATTCAGCATCAAACACTTTGAGAAGTGGATAGGATTTGGGAATAGCTGCTAAGTGTTGTTTGGGAATCTTAAGTTTTGTAGATGTTAGAAGAGAGCGGATATGCTGACCTGATGACTTGTCCTTAGAACCTGCTATGAAGTCTTTAAGGGAGAAACGGATGGACAAGCGACGGTAATTCTCATTTCCTTCTATTCTTGCCCCATCAATCTCATGGAACAGATTATTCTTCATAGCTTCAGATTTGCAAAACTCGTGCAATCTGTCATGAAGACGGCAAGATTTGATTTCACCGTCCGCTCTTGTTTTCACTACCATCAATAGATTCCTATTCACAAAATCCTTCAAATATGTTTCAGCAGTGCCCTCCATGTTCTGCTGGGATGAATAAGGAATAAATCCTTCTGCAATCCACAAGCGAATCAGTTTCCAAACAGGAATTTCATGTCCCATTGGAAATGCTGCAAGATATAGGAAACAATCTTTTGTGTAGTTACGCAAATGATTGTAATTCAGTAATACAAGTTCATTGTAGCTTTGGTTTTCCCAATTGATTAATGGAAACAGATCTTCAGCCACCTCTAGCCACTCTGCAGGTGAGCTGTTCTTATCAAGGACACCAGCAATCACCACTACTGCTTGCGGTAACCCATTGCATTTAATTGCAATTCTTCTCCCAATGGATTCAAGATAACTAGGACATGTTCCCATGGGGAAAACTTTCTTTTGTAATAACTCCCAACTTTGCTCAACACTTAAAAAATTTAATTTGTATGGAGCATTTTTAGAATCAACATGATTAGCCACTTCAAGAACACGCGTTGTTACCAATATTCTACTGCCTTTCTGGTTGTTAGGAAAAGCAGTTCTCAAATAATCCCAATCTTCCGTGCGCCATAAATCATCCACAACAATGAAATACTTCCCCTCCATCAAAAAATCCTGGATTCTTTCTGCTAGTTGTTCCTCCTTCATATCCTTGTAACCGCTGGTTTCCTTGGTGAAATTACTTATAATGTCCATGAATATTTGTTTCCTATTCACGGTCATAGATACGTAAATCCAAAGACGAGTGAAAAACTCGTGACGAAGTTCACGATCATTAAATATCATTTTCATCAATGTGGTTTTGCCTATTCCAGCCCCTCCAACAATTGCAATTACAGTCGTATCATCTAATTTTTCAGTGAGACGATACTTTATAGTTTGAGCATCCTCATCAAAGCCTACCAATTCATCTTCCGCCACATGAGCCTTTTTACAATTTCAGGAAAAATGAGATTAGGGAAATAACATGGATGTAAGTGTAACGAGAAGAATAATATTAAATTTTATTTTTTGAATAAGGGTATTTTTCTAGCACTGTTTTGTCCTCCAATATTTATAGGCAAAAATTTGTGGGAGACCATCTCACGAATCATTGTTCGTGAAACGAGTCGGATCAAGATCAAATGTAATACTTATACTGAAAAATGTAATACTAATAAGGAATAAAATATTTATTACTTATAATTAACAACACTTGCCAACATTACTTATAAGGGAAAATGTAATACTTTTGCATCAAAATGTAAAAGTATTATATTTGTTCTCAAAAGTATTACATTTTTCCTTATAAGTAATAAACATTTTATTTCTAATTAGTATTACATTTTTTTAATATAACTATTAATTACATTTTCGAGTTAATACCATCTGAGGTCCTCCGAGTATAGTGGTTTTGCCATGTTTAGTCCTAAACTTTCAAATTGACCATATGCGGTCCTTCGACTTTCAAACTTTACCATTCGTGGTCCTAGTTAACCACCTCTGGTCCTTCAACTATTAAATTTTAACCAACCATGGTCCTTTCATGAGGACCACTACTGGTTAAATTTCGAAACTTAAAGGACCATGAGTGGTTAACTTGGACCACGAATGGTTAAATTTGAAAGTCGAAGGACCACAAATGGTCAATTTGAAAGTTTAGGACTAAACGTGGCAAAACCATTATACTCGGAGGATCTCAGATGGTATTAACTCTTACATTTTCATATTGACTCGACCCATCTCATACGCAAGTGTAACCCATATTTATATGCTATCATTGTAATATCATTCAATACGAATTGAACCCATGTTATTATATTTTCATATAATTAGCAAGCATAATTTTTACTATTTCTTAGTTGCTCTACACTATCAACTTTTTAGTATATTTATTACTTTATTTAATATTAACATAAATCTTGAATAAAATAGCTAAAAAACCTTTTTATAAATAGAAGATCTTAATACCCAAAATGGTTGTGATTTTCGGTTAACAGTTAATTCAATTTAAAACTACGGTTAACCGAAATTATATATATATATATATATATATATATATATATATATATATATATATATATATATATATAACTAAATATATAGGGATGTTTGGACTTTATAATTTGTGCTTTTATGTTTGTAGTGTTGTTATGGTATTATGTTTGTATATTTTTTTATGGATTTATTATTATAGGTATTATTTTAAAGATTTAAAACTTTAGCTTTAAAAATTTCGGTTAATCGAAAAAATTTAGAATGGATTGAGTCAATATGAAAATTTGGGGGGGGGGGGGGGGGGGGGGGGGTCTCAACATTAATCACAGAGGCTGTGACCGGTGCTCACTGCGCACAAGGAGCCCCCCTCACTTTGAGAGGTCACCCCCACACTGCCGCTGGTGAGGCTCGATCCCTGGTCAAGGAGCCCCCCTCACTGCCGCTGGTGAGACTCGATCCCTGGTCATTGTTCCAAAGTTTCACCTCTATGACCAATTGAGTTACCCATGCGAGCTGCCCATTAATATACTGGATGAGATGAGTGAAGTGTAACCAGAAAGATAATATTAATGAAAAAATGCATTTTTGGTTCCCCGATTGTTCTTTACTAATTCTTTAGTCTTGATATTTCATTTGTAAAAATAAAAAATTTTATTTTAACAAATTCTAGTAGGAAAAGTAGGAACGATGTACCACAATTGAAGAAGGAAAATTTAGAGAATAAGGTTGTCAATTTTCTATTTTGCATATTAAATACTAAAACTTAAAAAGTTATAAAGAATAAAAGATAGTAAAATTTTAAAATACCCATATACTAAATAAAATTTTAATATACTTTTTTTTTTTTTTTTGAAAAGGAGCCATGGTGGCATTTATTCGAAATATGCTAAAAGTTTAATATAGTTTAATAGCTTTGTTCTTATAGAGTTATAGAGTTAAAAATGTAAGTTTTTCGAAGAGTTAGGAAGATATATTGTAATAATAAAAAGTTATGAACTAAAACAGCAAGCAAGGAACAAGGACTAAAAACTTAGCATTTTCTGTTGAAATAATTCACAATATTTAAGTTAAAACATTTGCGTATTAAATTTTTAATCTGAAAATAGTGAAATCTTCAACCATTCTCAATAACAATAGAAATGTCAAATATAATATTCAAATAATTTTTATGCAAATAACTTAAATAAGAACATAAATACACAATTACAAAATATAATGCATCCATACAACATATCTACAACGATAATAATAATAATAATAATAATAATAATAATAATAATAATAATAATAATAATAATAATAATAATAATAATAATAATTCCTGCATAGGCAACTTAACTGGTCATAGAGGTGAAAGTTTGGAAGAATGACCAGGGATCGAGTCTCACCAGCGACAGTGTGGACAGTGGCGGACCTAGTGTGGAGGCAGCTGCCCCCACTCACCCCACCACCACCCCCACTCCATATATAGCCTTGTATATATATGTATATATAGTACATGTTTTACATATAAATATAATATATAAAACTAATAAAAATAAAGAACAGGTGAGATGGTTGAGTTGGTAGGGTTGTGTTTTAGGTTAGGAATGTCACTAGTTCGAACCCCTTGTCTCTCAATATAATTAGTTTTTTTAACTCAACTGAGCTTTTTTATATTAATAATTAAATGTGTAATTTTAATATGTTTTATTTTTTGTTTATATCCAACAATATTTATGACTATATTTCTTCAGTGTTTCATTATTTTTTACACTATAATGTTTTGCCCCCACTCAAAAAATTTTCTGGGTCCTCCACTGAGTGTGGGTTCATGTTCAGCTGAGTTTAGAGTTGGGGTTCAGCTTTTTGGAATAATAATAATATTATTATTATTATTATTATTATTATTGTTATTATTATATTTTAAAAATATTGGGGACGGATCGGATCGGATGGAGTGGGACGGTGAAGGGTATTCCGGTCACCGTCGTGCCCTCGTTTCACGAATCTTTTCCTCATCTCCGTCCATGTTAGGACAGAGATCGCGAATCTCCATCGAGGATAGAGAAAATTGGCATGCATCTCTAATTCTAACAACAACATATATAGTATTCTTAAAGGGATGGGAGTACATACTGTAAGATTATTGAGTATAATTGGACGACATAGATACCTGGAGATCCGCCGCCGGCAGCTGAGGATTATTTAGCGAACCGCCTTGGAGTAACTCAAGATCTAGCCGGATTTTCTCCGCCCTTTTCTTAATGCTCTCCATCTCCTTGGCAGCATCATTAACCTTGTTATAATAACTTACTTTTTCCGGCCATTTCATGAGGACCCCTCTGCCTCTGTGGTTCCTTTCCTCTACAAGGTATTTATCAATGGCATCTTCAGCATCAATTACAACTTTCTGAATCTTCTGCACCACTTCTTCGAGTACAGCTTTGTCATTACAGTTCTTGGCTGCTTCACTGAGAGCCCAGAACGACCTGAGTTCGCACAGCAGATCTTCCACCTGATCCTCGATCCCAAGAATAAGCGTCTCGTTTTCTTCCACACTTTGTACTACTTTGCCTATCACCAACCCTACAACTGCGTCCATGGCGCACTACTCTCTCACTCTCTCAGCTCAGGAAATGGCCTGGGAGAATAATGATCGAATTCAAGAAAAAACCAGGCCAGCCAGTGATACACCTTATAAATTTCTTTCAAGTCGATCTTGCCTAGCTAGCTTCTTCAATTGGCTTTCAACTCCTATGTGTGATCTATATATACAACTAATAATGTTTTCTTCCAATTAAGAGAAAATGACACTTTTTCCCCCTGAGTTATATACTTATAGCACTTTTTCCCCCTCAATTATTTAGGTAAGCACATTAGCCCCTTCAATTATTCTAAAAGTGGTGTTTTTTCCCCTAATATATTAAATTGACATTTATACCCTTAAAATAAACATTTTATTTATTTTACTTCTCCAACAAATTATTGCGTATACGTAGGGGTGACCACGATTCGGTTCGAACTGAATCGGACACTATAGCAATCAAATTAAAATTTTCTGGTTATGATTCAGATCTAGAACCAATATTTGGATTTCAATTTATTAAAATTATGAATCAAAAAAATTGGATCCTGAACCGTGAACCGACGGTTCCGGACCCGATTCGCGATTTTGAACTATTTTTATTTTAAATTTTTTATTTTTATTTTAAAAATAGTCTAAATTCGACAATAAATGTATTTTATTTTTTTCAGTTCGGAACATGAACCGTCCGTTCCGGGATTTTAATAAACTCTAAATATCGAGTTTCGAATCTAAATTGTAATTGGAATATTTCGGTTTGGTTGCTATAGTGTTTATTTGGTTTGAACCAAATTATGATCATAATTTGTTGAAGAAGAAAAATAAATAAAATATTTTTTTAAGGGTAAATATGTCCATTTAACATTTTAGGGGGAAAAACAGCCACTTGAATAATTGAAGGGGAAAAAGCGCTATAAGTATATAACTCAGGGGAAAAAACTTAAGTTTTCCCTCCAATTAATTAAATTACTTGACCCGCAATTCAAGTTTTTTTATTATATTATCTTCCCATGTCACAAACAAATTAAATATATATAATGAAACAATTTAGGATAGCCAAATGGTCAATCCATAGCTACCCATGAATTAAATATATCAAGTTGTGTTTTGTTGTGGATAGTATATATATTAATTGTGATTCTTAATGAAAATGAAGGAAATAACAGCCAATTAATGAAGTTGGTAGACAAATAACAAGAAGACAAAACATGGTTGTTACATATAATTAAACAAGGCATTAATCAATATAATATAGAGTTAATACCCATTTTGGTCCCTCGACTATTAAGTAATGCGCAATTTAGTCCCAAACGATTAAAAGTGTCCAATTTAGTCTTTTAAGTTGTAAAATCATATCCAATTTGGTCCTCTGTTACAATTGCCATCCATCCACCGTTATAAAGAGGGGCAAAAACACCCTTTTTATCTAAAGTCGAGTGACCAAAATGGGTATTAACTTTATTATTATTATTATTATTATTATTATTATTATTATTACAAATTTATAGGAATTTTACATATATATATATATATATATATATATATATATATATATATATATATATATACTATACTAATAAGAGCCCAAGAGAGTTAGGCCTATAATGGGTAGAAAAAATGGCGGTCACAGATTTTAATTAAATGAATGGCTCAGATTGATTAAAAGATTGATCAGATTTAAATTTTACACTAAAATTTCCTAAAATACCCACACACCGTTACTAATTCCGTTAAAATTTTAAGAATTGCCGTTAGTTCACCGTTAACTTACTCATTGATTTCAATAAAAAAAGTCTTAGGTTCGAACCCCATCCCAATCAAAATTGGCATAATTAGTACTCTATTTTACTCTTATTAAATTATATAAATAATAATTTAGTAGTTACAACAAAAAATAATACATATGCATTTCTTTAATTTAGAATTATGTGTCTACAATGCCTTTATTCAAAAAAAAAATTTATTCATTATCAATAAATTAAATAAGAGAAATAATTTTATTAGTTATATTGTCTTTATTTTTCTTCAATATAAAAATTATTTATATTCAAATTTATTAATTGATTATATTCGCTATATTGTCCTTACAATGTCTTTATTCAGTGAAAAAAAATTATTAATTATCAATAAATTAATTAAAAGAAATATTTTCATTAGTTATATTGTCTTAATTTTTCTCAAATGTAAAAATTTTTACATTAAAATTCATCAATTGATTATATTCACTACATTATCTATTATCTTTTTTGTGCACTATTTTTCTAATTAAATATCAAAGTTATAATACAAAATAATGCTATATATTTATTTACCAAGTATTTTATTAATACCATGAAAAAATTAAAAAAATATAATTAATAAAGTCAACTATATTAACTACTTGAAAGATTTTGTGACAAAGGAGTATTCAAATCACACAACAAATTGAAGTAAGAACTACCTCGCAACGTCCTTGTTTGACAATCAGCAATTAACGGTTAGCGTTAGCGGATTTGATCAGCGAATTTATTTAATTATTAACATTGGGTAGAAAAAATGACCGGCCAAATTATTAAATCAAATGAATGGTTCATATTGTTCAGGTTTTAATTTTTTTCTTTTAAGATTTTCTAATTTATCCTTAATTATATGATTATCCATTTAACTTTTCCGTTAATTCACCGTTAGTCTAATTCTAATATTAAAGTCTAATATAGAATTATAACTACACCATTAATCTAATTCTAATATTAAAGTATTAATAGAACTTAACCACAAATCCTAATGTCGGAATCTCCTCAAACAATATTAGTATATATTTAATATTTTATGCCCTAATTTTTATTTGTTCTCCCTTATGTCCCGTATTTGGTTTCAACTATAACTATACAATTATTTTATTGACAATTATAATCAATCTTGACTATATTATCTTGCATCTGTAAACTTAGAATTACCTATTTAACTCGCACGGGCTTAGCTCAATGGTTTAGTGGGTAGTATTTGGGAGAAGAGACCAAGGTTTGAACCTCAGCGGCGGCAATGCGGGAATTATGTCCAAAGTGGGCAGATTCCTTGTGCGTATCAGCATTTGGCCTTGTCTGCTGAACCATTGAGTCACCATGATTTACAACTTCCCACAATGCTCTGTCGGGTCAGATTGTGGGGGGCCCTTGGGGTTGGGGACTCAACCTTTGGGAGAATAATTACCTATTTAAATACGCAAATTCAACCTTCAATTATCTATGCATGCACAATTTCAATATAATCCTGCCTTAATATACTTTAAAGTACTTATTTAACAAAAAAAGCATTGGGAATTATCCTAATCGCGCAATGCGCGTAAAAAACTAGTATATATATATATATATATATATATATATATATATATATATATATATATATATATATATATATATATATATATATATATACTCAATGTGCGTGAGTGTTGTATCTAATGTGCCTGGGATTTGTATTTAATGTGCGTGAATGTGTAAAATGCAGCAGAAAAGTGGAGACCTACAGGATAGTTTCTTCGCTAGCTTTGTTCTCGGATGGGTTATCACAAATGGTGCTGGTATTGCTTCTTACCCAATGATGATGACATCTGGTGAAGCTGTCAAGTACAGGAGCTCTCTTGATGCTTTTGCTCAGATTCTTAAGAATGAAGGTGTGAAAAGGGTGCTAGTGCAAACATTTTATCATGACTATATGGGTGCTTCTCTTTTCAGTAGCATAGCTCAGATTCTTAAGAATGAAGGTGCGAAAAGGGTGCTGGTGCAAACATTTTATCATGACTATATGGGTGCTTCTCTTTTCAGTAGCATAGTTATATGGTGATTTTCTGTTCTGCTTCTTTCTGAGTTCGTAATTCTGAACTACTCACGCACATTAAGCACAAATCTCACGCATATTAAGCACAACACTCAGGCACATTAAGTACAAAAATCGCGCATATTAACATCACGCACATTAAGCACAAAGCTCACGCACATTAAGAACAACACTCACGCACATTAAGTATAAACCTCGCACACATTAATCCACCGCACAACCGCATGGGAAGCAACAAATGCACCTGATCTCTTCCCTATATATATATATATATATATATATATATATATATATATATATATATATATATATATAACCAAATATCAATATTAATAATCATTCTATTCCAATCTACTACCAAACATGCAAAATATACCCGTATATGCAAACCTTCACATGGTCATAGACCCATAGTTCAACTTTACTACCTAAGTGTGAACCTTTCCATGGTGATGAACTAAGGATAATATTTTTTTTCCAGCACAAACAATATAATATAACTAGTATATTCACGTGACAGCTCCTCATGAATTTAATTTAGCAAGTTGGGCAACTCTTCGGGGCTAATTAGACAATGAATGAGTTTCATCAAGATGCCAAACATGGTTAGTTGTTACGTTTAAATTAAACAATATTGGTTTTCAAGCATAAAAAACGTATGTATCCCTATTTTATTACTCACAGGGATTTGATTGTGTATATCTGTTAGTTTATGTGGATGATATTGATGGAATTAATTAAACCGGGGGTCCGACTTAACTAACTCGAATAAGAGTACGAATAATAAATAAATGGTACGAATGATATAGCAAAGGCCGTGAGACCGTAGATTGTATTAAATGCCGTAGAATGGACTATTACAGTAGTATTTTAGGACAAAGTATGTAGGAAATGTAGATCGTGTCTTAACGAGACAAGGTGGGGGGCTTTTATACAACCCCTGCCCCTAACCGCCACCCCCTAAAGCGGGGGTGGTTAGATCCGAGTTGACCGCGCCCGGTCTCGTGACCGGGCCGTGTTGTGGGGCCAGGCCGAGCCCGTCATGGGCTCGGGCCGAGCCCGTGTGGAGGTCAGCCCGGCCCGGCCTCCAACGTGGCCCGTGCGGGGGCCACGTGGCGAGGGGCGGGTCCGTGGCGCCGCCCCGGGACCCGTTCTTGCCCGCGTCCTCGGGTCGGTTCGAATCGATTCCTGATATATCCGTCATCAGTCCCCCACTCTCCGAGCTGCGAGTAATCGTCAGTGAAGGAGAGTAGATGCTCTGGCCGACCTCCCAAAATGCCGACCCCGAGACGTCC